ATTCGCTAATGATAAGTATATATATATATACGTACATTGACAGGAGGAGTTACCAGTTTTGTCCTTTAGCGCAATGGACGCAACGAGGTTATAAGCCTCCGCTATAAAAAAACCTTTTAAAAAAAGTTACGTTGACCGACCTGTACAACCTGCATTGGCACCTCTTGGGACTGCAGTTAGTGTCTAATGACGGAAGGAGAGAAATGCACATGCCACGCATGGGATGATCGCATGCCTGCTCCTCGATCTCTATTGCACACAAAACCAAGTTCTGGACTGATTGGTGACTCCTTGTAGCCGATAAAGGCGGAGAGAAGGGGTCCGGATGGGGTGTCTCCGTCATTGCAGCTTTATGCTGAAGTGTTGCCAAAACGACGGCAACGTTCGCAGCCTTGACATATTCCTCGCAAACAGCAGCTGTCTGTATACCGAACGCTGCTTCCATGAATCCACTGGGGGTCTTCGAGGAGCCAACGGATCGTTCCTTGATTTATTGTTTGACTTTTCTGAAACATCTAGACGTCTGGATGCATCCAATAAGTGTCATACAAACGTTGATAATGAGTATCGTTCAGCTCAGGTATGCTAATATAGCCTAAGCATGCTACGAGAGTGGAGAACTGGACGCTACGTGGACGTAGAAGAAAGAAAACTCATCGTTCAACAGCTGAAACAATGAATACTGTACTTCTCCTCATGCTGGTTACCAAGCAGCCATCTACCAACTGCAACGTCCAATATCGTCTGAGGAGACTTCAATGTAGTACGTGGCCTTTTTGAACATATTGGCGATTCTTGGCTGAACGGTGAAGTTGATGACTTGCCCCTGTGGAACAACCGCAACATACCGCAATGCCACCCCCAGCTTATGAAGCTTCTCTACCGCTACTTCCTTTACCCCATGCTGTTGACCAACAGTGGCCTGTACGACATCAATCTGACGTTTCAACTTTTGATGTGAAGAATGGAAAATCACCGCATCAAGGGTGGCCTCGTTCGGCTTTGTCGGTTTGAAGTATGCCGTCAACGTAGGTGAGGCCGTAAGTTTGGTAAGAAGGTCAACAATGTCCTGGAGTTCGTACATACGCTGAGGCACAGCCAGAGGGTAAAGGTGTGCAGTGGACTGCGACTTCGATGTCCTAGTAGTCCAGTGATGATTCGAAGGGCCCCTGGTAGAGACTGATATTAGATGAAGATGCCACGTTTGGCGGTGTGAAGAATGCGGTGTAGGTGCTTGTCAAGGATGTATCCCGCAGATGCTCTGGAACGAGTCGGCATGAAAATGTCAAACTAATGAGCCAAGGTGAAAGCCTTGTCTACGTCTCTACGTAGGCGTTCTTCCAGCAAATCGAAGATATGCCTCGAGGAGGATATCACCAGATTTGCATTTGCACGATCGGAAACATCGGGCCTGACTGTAAGGATCTGATGAGACACTCGCTCGCGAAAGTCAACCCCCAAGATCATCTGGATGCCTAAATATGGATTCTATCTCAAAAAGAGTAAGATAGGCCATTAATGGATTGGATGAGCGTGGCATCATTCTGAAACTGCGACAACAGACGCGCGTTGCGTATTGAGGGTGAATGTGAATAGAAATATTCGAGTTTTGCTTGGATGTTTGCATAGTTCGATTTCACACCGCTCTGCAGCCTAAGACTAAAAGTAAATAGAGGAGTGAGATATATTATGTATGATACATATATTCAATTTCAGATCTCACCAAATTACTGCCTCCTCCCCTGTATTTGGTTCAAAGATAAAAGTATTCACTTGTTGATCGAACTCCTTAACCCAGTGGAACATGGGGGGACGCGTAGATGAGGCGAAAACCACAAAATGGTCTTGCGACTACAGGTAATCGGGAAAGGATGGGATAGCGGCTCTGGAATCGACCAAAAACCAAGTCGTCGGATCTACATTGTATCGGACACTGAACTTCACGAACGTGTCTTTGGGTGCAACCAATTGGGAACCGTTGTCGGTAAGATAATAATATGCATCTTCCGCAAACAGGAACGCCGTGGGAAGGCAAGCCTGTAGGCGCCACAAGAGTAGGATGGCCGAAAACATCAGACAAAAAAATTGAACACATTGAAGCACGCACCAATTCCGGGGTGGCCATGGAACACATATCCCCGAAGTCGATCGGGATTAGATAGTTTGCGTAAAGGCCCAAGAAAAGGGTTTTCTTCAGGGTATCGTTGTATGTGCATATTGTACTCCGCCTGAGAAGTAAGGTGTTTGACCATCCAATGTGTAGCTTCTGCATAATCGTCGCGAAAGAAGATGCCTTCGGGTGGGTTGCAAGTGTCTAGAAAGAGCCGGGAACAGCATTGGACAACGTGAGAAATCCACGCCTTGCGTCTTATTGAGGGTAGTTCTGGGTGTTCGGCAATATCTTCAAGGACAAGCAGTGCTTCCTGCCTGCCCCATAGATTCTTCCATAGGATTTCCCCGTCTGTTTCGATATTGTCTACGTGAGAGACAATTACTTACGAGCCGGGAAAGTTATCACTCTGTAGCACTCACCTGACATTGTCCGATGGAGAAAAGCACCTAATTTCACGGGACTATATCTTGCACAATGTTTGCAAGGGACGGTGAAAGCTGCAGAATCACCTGTGGTAGCAGAACTGTCGTGGTGAGATTTCAAGTTTGCAATTGGCCCTAGAGGTAAAAGAGATGAATCACACTCAAGTGGAAAACGTTTACAAGACGAGGAAGGGCGATGTCACGAGCTTCATCTAGTAATATTACACTCGAATACAAATATAATGTGTACATTGGCAGCAGCGAGGATAGCAAACGCAGGAAATTAAATATAAATCATAAAAAACAGTCCGTTCGTCAATGACGAGCTCGCTTCCTCCGCACTTGGATGTAACCAGAGCCTTCAGCTTCATCATCGCCTCCCTCTGTTGCAGACCCAGCAGTCGCCTCCGCCTCTGCAGCTACCTGTTCCTCATCCTCACTCGTCCGTGCTCTCTTTCGCGACACAGGAACGACATCGTCCAGATCAGATCCAGCTGGTGTCAAAGGTGATTGTGGAGGGGTTTGGTCCCCTGGTCTTGGGGCAACAGGCCTCTCCGTCGCAGTATCATCCTTATCTGTATCAACAGTCGCCGCCGCTTTCTTGGCGGGAGATTTGTTTTTTGATTTGTATGTCGGCCGTGGTCGCGGTCGGGATTTCGATGTCACGATGTTTTCCTCAGCAGTGTCGTCACCGTCGTGGTCACTTTGTTGCTCAGCTGCACGCGCGCGTGCACGAGACGCGGTTGCACGTTGCGGTCGTTTCCGCATTCGAGGTGCTACAGGTGCTCTGTCCTGCTCCGCGTTACGAGCAGCGTCAACAAGATGTTCCACTTCGCTCTCCTCGTCAGTAGTAACCATCGCTGCTGAACCCTTTGCCTTTCCTTTGCCAGCGGCTTTCCGAGTTTTTGTTCCAGGCACTGTTCAAGCAATTAGGGAAATACGGTTGTGTTCAAGTCACCATACCTTTCTCTTTATCCTTTGATGTCAGCCTTCTTTCATACCCACGTTGAGGTTCCCAGACGGACGATGTCGGAGAAACCTCCACCTTGGCCTCAGCTAAGACCTGATCCATATGAGCTTTACTAATGACGAAAGGCAAACATCAGTCAGGTGTCATAAATGGGAGAATAGTACGAACATTTGCAAAGCTTCCCGGCTTTGTATGACACTGAGCATTTGTGTCAACACGCGGAAGCACAGTATCGTCCGTTTCAAAGACTTTTTGTTGTTGTTGCTCTGGTAGGTCGACAGCCGCTTGCCCAACCACGAGATCAGATTTGTATGAATCTGTACTATGTATTCGCTGTCAAGTCGGCGGATGATAGAAAGCTGAATCCCTCGAATAACAAAACAAGACGCCAGCTGTTTCGCAAGCTGAACAGCGTTAGTCTCGTCTCGCACAACGGAATCCAAAATAAGCGTAAATGCCTGGAGACAAAGAATGAGTCTGAATTACTAACACCGAATCGGGATGCGCTGCTACCTCTTGCAGAGCTTGCGTGATAACCAAAGCTACAATGTCACCATCATCATTAAACATGCCTGCTTCCCGTAGAACCTCTACAATGACTTTGGTGCAAAGGTCAAATGTAGGTCCCAAACGGCCATAGTGCGCTAGAAGACTGGCTCCATGGCGAACATGAATTGCACCTGCCCGTATTGCTCGCAAGAAGGTAGACATCACATCAATGAATACATATTCCTCTTCAAGCCGGGCTCGAGAATTAACGTCTTCGTCTAAAGAAGACGTAAAATTTAGCACGTAGAGAGAAGTAATAGGCTCAGAACTTGCCTTCCTTGTCTGTCACCACCGATTTCGCCTTTCCCTTCCCCTTCATTTTGGCCTTCTTAGCAACCTCGTTGTCGTCGCCTGAGTCGACATCGCTGCCATCATCACTCTTATCCTCCTCCTCAGCTCCTTGAGCAATTTCTGCGTATCTCTCGATCTCAGCTTGCACATATCCCGCACATCTATACTGGGCTTCGTCATCCATGGTCAGCGCGACAGTCGCTGTCGATAATTGCGATCCATCCGCGGCAACAGTTTGTGTCGCCGAGAATAGAACATGGAGGTCCAAGAGATTCTTGAATGCCTGTATTTCATTAAGTGGTGAGTCATGGGTTGACATAGCTTGAGCGAAAACATACAGTCCTCTGCACTCCTTCCACCGTATTTGAGTCAGTACCAATCGAATACTCCATTAATTTTTCCAGCAAAACCTCCCGCTGAAGCACCAGGTTCTCTGCATGTCGAACCTCCTCAGTGGAAGGCGAAGGATCTGTGGTAAGTGCCTTTCCTTTCCAGATGATATGCAACGTCAATAAATGCAGCACCTGCTCGATCATCTGCTCGGGCTATCAACGACTTTCCAACGATGATGGATGAAACAATCAAAGACTAACCATTTCTTCTTCCTTATACCCCAGTCGTCCCCGCTCTGCTATGGCGTTCAAAAGATCCCACACCTTACTCTGCTTACCTCCCTCGTCATCTTCGATCCACCCAGTCATGTCTCTTGTTCCTGCAAGTATCCTCAACCGCATACATGTGGACCCAAGGGACAAGGCCTCGTCTTCGTTGAATGATGCTACTTCGATCTCTTCACGACCCGCAAGGGCCGCCCGAAGGACCGACGAGAGCTCGTCTTCCAGCTCGAGAATTTTCGTACTGTTAGTATTGGAGAGAGATGTGGCAGACAGGAGATATGTGATGGTATTTATTGCAAGCGCTAGAATAGCAGGAGACGCATGCGTGAGGAATTGTTTGAGGACGTCGTCCCATAGATTTGAGTAATCCTGATGGGAAAATAAGAATGAGGCTACATTAGAATGGAATAAAACCTACACTGATCGCTCGCATTTCAAGATACAGATCCAAGTTCATAACAGTAGGTAGGACCAGGACATCCTTAATCCGATTCTCGTCTGTCTGATACTTCATGAAAAGGCGCGGGAGACCTTTCATCAAAGCACGAGTGATCTCGTTGGCAACAGCGTCTTCCTCGCCCTACATTTTCGGGTAAGTATATACTCCCATTTGAATTATTCAACACACACCTTCTTACCTCCGACCGCTTCCTTCTTAGTCTTTGCCAAGGAAGCGACCAAAAGCTCAAGCAAGACGCCTTCTTCGACTTCCTCCAGTCTCCAAGATTCATCAACATACACAGACTCGGTTTCATCGTCATCATCCGCGTCCTGTGAGGTCGTGCCTTTACTTTTTGCTGGTTTTCTACCCTTCTTTCCCTTCTTGCTACGCCCATTGGAAGAGGGGCCTTGATCTGTAGACGCAGAATGATCAAGCAGTAACATATCGAGTATTCCTGACCAATCAGTAACAGGGTCCAGTTCATCCCACAAAGCTTCCGCTGCTAAAGCCGTGCGATTCCCACCCCCGGACTTATGTCTTCCCGTAGAAAGTGCTGCAATTTCAGGTCTCGTCCTCGTGCGCTTCGCTTCTGTCTCATCTTCATCTTCATCTTCATCATCACCCAGAACCTTATCCAGAGCTTCACCCCATTTCACCAGTAAAGCCGCGATACCCTTCATTCCTATCCGTTCCTTGTCATCTTTACTCTTGCCGCCCATCTCAACGTCACGCTGCTCCACCCACTCTTCCCAAACACCACGTACAAACCCTGAAACAGCTTTGCGTACCCGCGGTTCCTCACAAAAGACAAGTCCACCTAGTCGCTCTCGCTCTTCCTCCTCGAGCATACCACTCTTTTCGATTTCCTCAAGGACGTTAAGCACACCCACACGAACACCCACGTCCACGTCGGCTTCGGCCATTTCGACGAGACGGGGTTTAAACCGTTCCGTAAAATGGTTAAGAGAGGTGAGAACACCATCAGCGACTGATGATGAGTAGACTATTTGTAGGGCCTTGACAGCGGCTAGACGAGCGTGCGTAGCGGAATCCGAAAGTACCCATCCAACATATCGGAGGTAAGAGGTCGAAAGGAAGTGAGACGGATGTTTCTTGAAGAATATGCCAAGGGAGGTGATGCATTCTGTTCGTATGACGGGATCAAGGTCACGAAACCGATGAACGAAGACGCTACATTTCAATGAGTGCAAGGAATATTCAAAAAAAGATGAGACGTACCCGTCAATGAATTCTTTCAAGAATTCGTCCAATTTGACAGCTCTCCCCTTCACTTCCTTCAGCTTCCCCTCAAGCTCCTTGTCCTTTGCACTGGCTCCTCCCTTTGCTCGGCGCTTCTTCTCGCCTTCTCTCTGTCGGCCGAGTACCTCAACCTCCTTTTCAACGCCTCGCGTAACGTCGCAGAGTGCTGCCTCGACATCGAGGGCAACGGCAGTCGATGTGTGTCGGAAGCTCCGTATTTGGGATGAGCTCATAGCTACAACCCAAGTCTGGAGTGTGGGTATCAGATCCGATGTGTACAGCACACCGAGGTCAGCAGCAGATGATATTAAACGAGCAAAGAATTCGGAAAGATGTGTACGAAACTTCTTAAAAATTGGATTCTTGGAGGTCAAGGGGTAGGTAGGTGATGCTTCCTAGAGACGTGATATAGCGCTTGACAGTCGAAGGAGACAACGAGCGCACCTGTTTGAGACCCTCCGTAAAATGGTCCAGTGCATCAACGACACCATCATAGTCTACCGCCTGATCCTCATCAACTGAGTCGTTGCATCCACAGGACCGCAGAATGAGATTTATTAGCTCGGCTAGCGCGGGTCCAGGTTGCTGCTGGAGAGACTCGAGGAAATCTTCTGCTGTTCCCTGCAAGGCCGCCGACGGGTTCATGATTGCGTCTGAGAAAGCACATTAGGCATTATAGACACGAAAAGGCCCAGACATACTATACAGGGGGTTATCTGAGTTAATTTTCGTGTCCTTAGCAAGCTGCTCCGGGTCGAATAACGCGTCGTCGGGATCTTTAATTTTGCGCCCCCTCTGTGTGCGCGGTTTTTTTGCTGCAGGTTTCATCACCTTTCGCGCTGGCTTTGGCTTCGGTGCATGATATTCCTCTGCCGCATCCTCCTCTACTGCCTCTGCGTCCTCATCAGCATCGCTGTCTGCTGTGCGTTTCCGTTTGCCGATGTTCGTGACTGACAACAGTTAGAGACAATAGTGCGGTTATATCGGGGGCGTCTCACTGGTGTCTATGCGTTTCGGCTGTTTTCTATCACGTTGAGAACGTCGTGGGGCTGCAGGCGACTCATTCTGGGAGGAATCCATGGGAAAACGCGTCGCGTGGTCGCGGTAAACAGGGTAAACAGGAGAGTGGCGCTGTCACGCATGTCACACGAATCATGCACCCGCACCACCGGCATCTCGGCAGATCTCGAAGTCGTCGCAGTTTGACTTTTTACGCCGACGGTGAGCTTCGTTGCCGAAATGTTTCTTATCAAACGACGAAAAAAATAATCTGCTTCTTCTCCTATCAGGTAGTAGTGACCACTGGTACACCTTGGAGACTCCGAGAAATCGTGTCACGTGGTCGCGGTAATCGAAAGTCAGCGTATCGGAATCGGCCGACCCCATAGTCAGTGCGAGCTTTGGTGGACTCCAAAGATGATACAGGCTCTCGTGTTTGATCTCATGGGTACTTGTACCGACTGGCATTCCTCCATACTGTCTGCCTTGGACTCCAAGCCTCCGCTTGCTGATCCACACTCCTTTGCCATGGCCTGGAGGGCAGGTTTCTTTCAGGAAATTCATCGCCGCTTTCAGGTGGGCGATGATCCTGAAGATATCGATGTCACTCATAGGCGAGTACTGGATCGTATTTTGTCAGAACGCAATGTTGGGATGGAGTTTTGGGACGAAGAAACGAGAAATGATCTGGTTCGAAGCTGGCATATTCAACAAGGTACCGAGCTGTGCGGTGCCAGAGAATAGACTTACTCATGAAACTACCACAGCTTGGCCCGACGCAGTCAAAGGCCTTGAGAGGCTGAGGAATAAGTTTTTCGTGTGGGCAAAGAGTGCTGATATGGAAGAACATACTCTAACCATATCTTCGATAGCATCGTCCTGGCCAACGGTACTACACGTCTTCAGCTCGACATCATTAAGTCTTCCCGGCTCCCATTTCATACCCTGTTGTCGTCCCAGCTCTTGAACCTCACGAAAGTACGCACTTAAATAGAAATGCTTCACGATTCTTTTTGACTCTTAGATCATGATGACAGCCCGATCCAAAAATTTACCAGAAAGCAATAAATTTTCTCGATCTCAAGCCCGAGGAATGTCTCATGGTCGCTTCCCATGCCTATGATTTGAGAGCTGCTGCAAGGACGTGGGTTAAATCTCACCACGAATGTCCAAGTACAATGCTTACTGTCTTTCCACAGTGGGATGAAAACAGCCTATATCCACCGATCTACTGAGGATCCAGAGGAAGATATAGACCACTTGAGACAGACTTTTGACTTTTTTGTTGAAGGGACAGACGGAAGCGATATCAGTGGGTTGGTTAAATTGGCAAACATCTTACAGACATGACTGCTGCTGGAGATTGCCGAAACAGAGAGTGACGGTAAAGCTGAAGCTGAGGATAAGGATAAGAGTGGAGACACTGAGGAAGCAGACAATAAAGAAGACGGTATCGAAGATGCTCCCACGCCATCCAGCGAGATCCGTTCCATAAAACGAGGATAGAGTGCCAGCGTTCCTGCAGCTTCGGCGTCAGCGCGGTGCGGACGTCAGGCTTCCGAGGCTCGCCATATTACTTCCATCGGAGTCCTCTTGCGTTCAAACTAAATGCGACACAGCCAGGAAAAGAATGTCATTGGACAGACAAACGTTACTCTCATCCCGCCTTATTCTCGTACTTGCCTGCACTGACCACGCGTGGGTTCCTTGGATCGCTAAGTCGGATACACAGCGAACGCGAAGTCGATTGGAAGTCGACGACGATGCCAACCTGTGCTTTGGGGGACCAAGCCTGGAAATATGGCTTGGGTCGATACAGTTATGGAACCTCACATAGAGGACGAGAATTCGCATGAACGAGAACGGATACTAAGCTAGGCTGATGAACTTAATGTTTCGACTGGTATGACCGTTGATTGACTCAACGTATCGATAAGTATGGCCATTATGGGCAAATATACACGCCTCACTCTCGTCCTTCTTTGCCCTGACTACTGGTGGAAGTGCCAGCTTGTCCAGATTCCTTGAAGTACCCGCCTGTTTCAAGGAAAGTTCGTATATGGTCGTATTTCGTACCACTCATCTACATCCGCCGCCTTTCGAACTTTTTACAATAACGGAAGATTCTGCAGCTTCGGTTCCAGCGACTAGGGCCAACCACAGAGGGCGACGTTAAATAGACGGAGGTTCGGGTGCATATCGTGGGTAGAGAAAAACAAGCTCCTGGGACGGGTAAATTGCTCTTCCCCAGGTCAATCTTATTTACGCCCGAGTAGGTAGTTGCATTCGCAATTTCAAGAGCTATTGATCGGGTGAGGTCAGATAATAATTCCGCCGTCATCTCATTAGAAGGAATCATTTATAATAACTCAAATCGTCAATCATTTCGAGGGACAAAAATAAAGCCAGACGACTAAGTGGATTGGCATATATCGGTAGGAGCCTGCGTTTTGAAACAAAGTCAGGTAAATTTTGATAAAGGTATGGTCAATAGTGTCCATCTACATGTTGCGAGATAGGAAATCTGAATGTCAATGATAATGGTACAAGTAAAGGTGATGAAGGTGATGAAATCAGCCCACCCTCCACACCTCCACCCCCACACACTCAAATGGTACCATCCCTCTTACGCTATTCCCCGGAGAACACAAAGGCTCATTCGAAAATGTCGGACATGGTGCCGACGAACCCTCCAACAGATTCCCATCAATGTATAACCCATACGCTCCATCCCCTCCCCCAAAGCTCATGTAGTCAGGCTCGCACAATGCAACATAACCATTTCGTCCTGTCCATTTAAAGACGGACAGTTCATTGCCAGAATAGCGCCACAGAAAACTACAGAGGAATATGTGAGAAGGGAAGAGAAGGAAACGGAAGGACACACGATTCGCCACTTCCATAGTGTCCTTTTCCCCTGCTCTGTCGTATCCCATCACTTACAAACGCACCAAAAACGGTATCTCCATCGTCCTTGAACACAACAAGCGCACCACACGGCTTCAGCTGCTCACATCGCGTGTAAAGGGTGTTGAGTGATATGCCATGCTGGTCCAGAGAGTAGAGGAGTGACCATGAGCGAGGGAGGCGGGAGAGAGCGGGAAGATGAACTCGAACCTACACCTGCTTAGCAAATATACGTAGAGCCAAGAGTAATGGTGCAAACTTACCATGTTGGCTAGGTGCACATCTAATACACTCACAGTTCCCTCCCTTCTTCCCTTCAAATCAATGTAGAGAGCTTTTTTCTCGATAACCACTCCTGTACCACAGTCATAGCTTTCCCCACCGTACCCTGGTGCTCCTGTGGGTGGGATATAGACGACAGACGATGCTTCTGATGCGTTGCCATGCGGCGCGAAGGGGGTCTTGTGCGAGATATTCACAGGCACAGAGGGATGTGGATGCTCATGATGTGGTGGCTCTGCAAGGTGATACAGGGAATCTATCCTACGGAGAGAATTCATCCAGCGCGACGGACGGGACTGGGAGTCATCAGCAGGCGGTGGAGAAGAGACAGAGGACGTGGACGCTATGGGAGGTGCCGGCATTGCCACAGAAAGAGTCGGCGAGCGCGTAGGTGAATGATGGCGGTGTCGAGACGACGTGTTCGACACCGGCGACAATGACGGTCTTGATGAAGGATCCACGGACATGAGCGTGCCTGTAGGAACTTGGAAGGACAGGATTACTCAGCGGATGCCGGTCCGACTTGCCATTCAAGGATTGGCCAATTTTTTCTCCGTCTTAGTATACTCCATCATGTGTGGTCTCCATTCTCTACCACCCCCAAGCAAGAAAAGGAAACTTAACAATGATTCCAAGGTCCTGCAATCGATTCAGGATACTGAGCACCATCTTACCCGTGCAGTCACAAACAATGGAACTCTGAATCCATTAGCCGACCTTCTGGATCTCACTTGCTCACGGAAGGATTCTCAGGAGGTTTCGAAGGGTATATATGCGCTGTATCGAGTCTTCGTGCTTGTGATAGGTAACGGGAAGTTGTCGGTTTCTGGTGATGAGAGCACAAAGACTGTCAAAGCCTGGCTTTGGGACCGAATGAACAACTATGTCAATTTTCTCGTGGGATTGCTGAAGGACGAGGAAAAATCCTTGAGAGTACGTAGCTCCTTCTATACCACAAAATTTATCTGACCGTCCTCATAGGTATCGGCTCTTCAAATTCTCTTCTCTCTGCAAAAGCATTTGTCCAGCGCGGCCACCAAGTATTCGAGTACTTCAGTACCGCAATTCCACATCTCTCACTTCCGAAAAATTGTTTCTGGACTTTTGTTATGCCCTTCGTCTCCTCGCAAATTCTCGCCGGCTTCAGACACGCACGTCGACGCCGACGTTCTACAGGTCTTTCATGACACTTGGTTCAGCGTGCATGACGATATTCGATGGTTTTTTTTACGAGAAGCAGGGTGTGTAAACATTGCTCGTCATTGAAATTTCACCTTATTGACTCACCGTTAGGACACTGTTGACTACGACATCGTCTAGAGAGCACCCACAGCTCCTCATCAACCTTCTGCGAATCCTCGAAGATCTCACCACATTCCCCACCGAATCTTCGGAGCTGAATGCTTGGTGGGTAACGGAACTTGGCGCTCAGCCACCAAAGCCAAAAGTCGCGAAGAGGCGAGAGGGTGAAGATGACGGCGACGACGAACCACTCGGAGACGCGCCTGAGGGCGACTGGCGGAAGTTTTTCGACGATGATAAGACGGCAAAAGATACCAGTAAGGCCAAAACGCCGGGCGTGCGTGTGCATACGTTGACCATACATCAATCTCTTCATTCACTCCCTTCACATCGTGCGGTCTTTACTAGGACCTGGCTAGAGCTTCTTTCTCGTTTGTCTGTTGCAAATGATACAACAGCAACAAAAGCCGTCGCGACCCGTGTATTGAATATCATGCATCGGGGTATCATGCCCCATTTGACGAGACCTGTGCTAGTGATGGACTGGATTGGTGCATGCGTAGACTATGGTTCGTTTGACGGCTATTCGAGGGTATCTTGATACTCATGGCTGTTCTAGGTCGTACCGTGGGCCTGTTGGCGTTGAATGCATTGTTCGTATTGATCAAGGAGTATAACCTGTGGGTGATTCTCTCTGTTCGTCTACCATCATTGCTTATTATTTATAAGTGACTACCCTTCCTTTTATACACGTCTCTACGCGTTCCTAGACCGCAATCTTCTCCATCTCAAATATCGCGCTCGTTTTTTCCGAATGACAGAATTGTTCCTTAGTTCTACGTACGTTGAAGGTTACTTTAGTATTCTTCTTTTTTGCTAATGTGTGCTAGACATCTTCCTGCGACACTCCTAGCATCGTTTATCAAACGTCTGGCACGCCTGTCTCTTTTTGCACCTCCTGCTGGAGTCATCATTCTAATACCCTTCACTTATAACATCCTCAAGCGTCATCCTGCGTTGATGGTCATGATTAACCGGACAGATATGGATGGGTCGGAAGGTAACGTTATCCCCTGCGTCTATTTCAGTTGACTTATTATTGCGTAGATCCTTTTTTGCCTGCGGAGCCAAATCCATTGAGCACAAATGCCCTCTCCAGTTCTCTCTGGGAACTCCAATCACACCAATCACATTACCACTCTGGCGTCTCGACTCTGGTGAAGGTCTTCTCCGAGGTATTTACCAAGCCTGGCTTTTCCATGGAAGATTTCCTAGACCACACATACGGAACAGTAAGTTGATGCAGGTGTGATGGCTCAGGCAATGATTACTGATCTCCAAAGCTCTACGATGCAGAGGCGAATCGGAAAATCAAAAAGGAGCCGGCGCTTGGAGTGTCTTTGGAATTGGGAGACCAAAAGAAGACTGCGGCGAAGGTCTTTGGTACTAGCGAAGCGGATGATGTTGAGGAAGATGTGATAAATAGTTTCTGGACATTTGGAGTGTAGTATGATAGATGGAGCAATGGTGTCAACTAGTTCATTTTCCGAACTCTTAAGATAATTCGATGCCGGTAATTCTTGTCGTCCAAATATCACAACTTTCCATGCATAAAACGCCTAATCGTCTGAACTAAAAAATGGATCTATAGATCGCGGCTGTGCCAATGTTTTTCCTGGAAGTCTATGGCGTCAGTGACTCGAAGAAAATTATTTCGGCCGAAGCCCCAAGAATGCATCTCTTCACCAACGATGAAGTACTTTTCCACCCGAGGAGGCGACCAGGAGCTGTCCTTTGAAGAGGTCAGTCGGATATCGTCACCGTCGCTCTTTTATATTTTCTCTTACCTTTGTTCCTATTAGACTGTCCTTACTGGGCTCGCTCCGAACGGTGGCCTCTACATCCCGGTCGAAATTCCCTCACTTCCCTCAAACTGGGAAACGGAATGGAAGGATTACTCATTCGTGGACCTCTCTGTTGCCATACTGTCGCTCTACATCTCTCGTGAAGAGATCTCCGAGTTGGAACTTCGGGATCTCGTTGCAAAGTCGTACGCTGGGTTCAGGCACCCCTATGTGACTCCGTTGAGGAAACTGGGCGAGAAGAAGTATGTGTTGGAGCTGTGGCATGGGCCGACATGGGCATTCAAGGATGTTGCGTTGCAGTTACTTGGGAACCTGTTTGAATTTTTCTTAAAGAGGAGGAATGCTAGGCGTATGGATGGCGGAACCGATAAATTGACTGTGGTAGGTGCGACAAGTGGGGATACGGGGAGGTACGACGTGATTCGCTTGTAGCAAGCCAAGATACTGATTTCCTCCCCAGCGCAGCGATTTACGGTCTACGAAATAAAGCTAATATTTCGATATTCATTCTACATCCTAAAGGACGAGTCTCGCCCATCCAGGAGGCTCAGATGACGACCGTCACCGATGCCAACGTACACAATCTAGCCGTCAAAGGGACATTTGACGATTGCCAGGATATCGTTAAATCCCTCTTCTCCGACATCCAATTCAATGCTACCCATCACCTCGGCGCCGTCAACTCCATCAACTGGGCCCGGATCCTCGCACAGACAGTCTACTACTTCCTCGCATACTTCCATTTGCGCAAGGAGATACAGAGTGAGGTGCAGTTCGTTGTCCCAACAGGGAACTTTGGTGATATCCTCGCGGGGTACTACGCGAAGCGCATGGGGCTTCCCATGTCGGCCCATCTGGGTGTCGCAACCAACGCTAATGATATATTGGCACGGTTTTGGAAAACCGGACGGTACGAAAAGGTGGATTCATCACCGGAATTGCCAGTGTCAGACGGCAAGCAGGGAACTCAGGACGCTAGTGGGGTCAAGGAGACGCTCAGCCCTGCGATGGATATTCTCATTTCGAGCAACTTTGAGAGGTTGTTGTGGTACCTGGCCTTCGAAACTGTGGAAGATGCTTCTGATGTCAACGTGAGAAGGGCAAAAGCCGGAGATATCGTCGATGGATGGATGTTGAAGATGAAGAAGGATGGTAAGGTAGAGGTGCCCGTGACGGTTTTGGAGTTTGCAAGGAGAGACTTCTGTGCCGAACGGGTCAGTGACGAACAGGTATACTTCTTCCCTTTAATCTCGTCCGCCTGTACTCACTGTTACTATTACAGACACTAGAGACGATCAAGTCTCAGTTCTTGGGATCGCCTTCATATGTTGTGGACCCTCATACCGCTGTCGGGTTGACCGCAGCTGCAAGGATGGCGAACTATAAGTACGGTGAACCGATGTTCCCATTTATTCATCTCTGATATCTTCTACAGCTCGCTTTCTACCGTCCAAATCATCCTGTCTACTGCCCATCCTGCCAAGTTCTCAGAAGCGGTGTCGCAGGCTTTACAGGGTTCCTCCCAGTTCGACTTTAATCGGGATGTCATGCCTGAGGAGTTCAAGGGTTTACTGCAAAAAGACCGTCGTGTTATTGACGTCGAGAGACCAGATGTTGAGTTGGTCAAAAAGGTTATTGAGGGATATGTATAAGTGAGGCAGTTGCATCAAAAGGTTGGAGAGGAACTGGAGAAGATGTGTCAAACTTGAATATCATAGACAAATCGTTTGAATACGGCACGACTTATTAAGAGAGGGCCCGTATTCAATCGAAACAGAGCCCTTGTTTCCTCTTACTGCGTCTTGTAGCATGATATGTATGGTCTCGTACAGGTATGGAGGACTCATCGAATACCTCAATATATTGCACCAGGATCTCGTTCGGGTTACACTAGGAGAGAATGGAGTTACATAATGCCAGCCCTCATGTTTCCCCCATCCTAGTTGATTCATAGAGAATTAGGAATGAAATTGCAGCCTTAAAAAATGGTGACGCCTGACAACAATGGAGGAATAATTTTAATATTAATGTGATGTCTAGTCAATTGCCTAATCACTCTTGGGATGAGTACGTAACCTGTAGGGTGGAAGGGGTCATTGATGAATGTAGAAGTAAATTACAACAATAATATAAGGTAAGGTATGCCAATTATACAGATCATCAAGGGGGTCGCGTAGTCGGAACCCTGCTGATCCAAAGCACGCATTTGAGTGCGGGGCATGGAACTCTTTCCGACTGCCAGGTAAGATAGACAATCACGCCGGACAAGCAATAATTTGATGGCATCCACTTGCCCGTTCACTCTGCAGTTTGCTACAGAGTGAACGAGCAAATCAATATCAACATGCTATTGTTTGTCCTGCCATGGTTATCGGGTAGGATAGTCGTAGATATCGAGAGGCGTCAGAGCCATCTACGTCGTTTCTGAGAGTCTGAGTCCCCTGTCTTGTTCCTCTTTGATATCCTGCAACTTAACTGAAACTTGGGCTGCATCTGGTCTATCGGCTGTTGATCCTTCGAGACAATGCTGAATAAGGTCGTACAGGCATCGAGAGGGTAGTTGTTCCGGAGAAATCGAAGGCTTTTCCCCCAAGCAGATCTGTAGACCTCTTCCCTGTCCACAGTATCTGCGTATGGATGATGTTTTGTGTGTATCTATACCACCGTAAGATTTTGGACGGAGCTGCTAGAATTGATCTTTATACCTGGACCAACGTACATCCAAAGGAATATACATCTCTTGATGCAGGTTTCCCTTCAATGTCTCTTCCTACTTCGTCAGAGCGAATCAGTTCAGGCGCCATCCATCCTAAACTGGGAGATCTAGTCATTTGTATCTCTGAGGACCCACATTCGATATATAGATCCGTGTTCGCGCCAGCATTCCACCTTTTTAGTACAGAAGATGACTCGAAATTTGCGAGACAACATATTAAGCATCGGTGAGAAGTATATTGGCCCAGGATGAAAGATAAGTATGGAGTGACCAAAATATGGAATTCACTTGCTCCACGGGATCGAGGCTTGTTGGTGCCCGATTATTGTTCTCGGCAAGCACCGAAGGCTCTCCTTTGTTCTCTAGCTATTTAAGTAGCACAGCCCCTTACTTTAGTCCTTTCCTCAGTCCGTTAACGCATTGACATGTCGAGACTGAGGTGAGGCTCTTCATTACTTCTCATAGATTATCTTACTGAATCGTCGTAGTTATCCTTTCTATAGGTATGACCCAATATAGTCCGTTAACGCATCGACGTGTCGAGACTGAGTTATACTTTCTATAGATCCGGATTCTAACAGGTTATGGGTTTATTTCTCGAGCTCTAAGCCGAGAGTTATTATCCAGATCCTTTTTTTGACTCTACATCGACACAAAATACATGGAACCATTGAGTTCTTCTCTCTCTGCTGAACATTTTTCAGACTTCAAGCCACTGTGCCACTGAGCCAGCATGACGAACGCCACGGAAACTCCATCAGCGACAACATCTCCTTCCACTATATCTCCTCTATCCACCGATGTGACAAAGCCCTCGATATCGGTTGTCACCATATAGAGTTCTCTCTTCACAGCCGCCAACCTTGACAAAGAAATCAATAACTGGCAAGAATGGAGTGGCGATGTCCGGAGGAATCGATGGCCATCTTCTAGACTGCCTACCCTGTCCCAACAAGCCTCTTGAACCTCATGCCCACATGAACTGGCAAACCAATGACCGTGCGATTCGCACGTTCATGAACCTCAAAGCTGTAAAAGCGGAAAAGGACTTCATGAGTGGCTATAGCTCGTCGAAGGCTGTCTGGTTTCCTCTCAAGACGTGCCACGAACAGGAGGGACCGATCGTGCAAGTTAACCTGATTGCAGTTACCGTAACGTCGGGTACATATGACTTGCCATGCACATCGATGCACAGCGTTTGCTAAAATTATGTTGAGGTTATCAGATGGAGGTATGCTACGTTACGGCGTGAGATGAGCCTTCGCGAGAGTTCTTCAGGAAGGCGAGCGTAAAAATCTTCACAGGCGCAGAATGTTATCAATAATAACTATTGTACAAGTCTCGCAGAAGTCCGTACTACGGGGCTTCGCGCCAAGGGAAAAGAGCGGCGTGAGACTCACGTCCAATGCTAGTCTCGTAAATCAGACTCAACGATCCATATGAAGTAGATAAATCGTTCAATGGATGTGGAGTCCAGTGCTGTTGCCAACTCCACTCCCCATTCCAGATATCTGCAACATTTTTCTGTGTATGGGTACCGAAAGTGAAAGTGGCTAATCCCACTGCCTGTTGCCATCATCGTGCTATAAAAATACCTGTTATTAGTAGTATACCATACTTGCCAGGACTCCTGACTTTAGTAGAGGTTCTGCTGCGGTAGAAGATGTAGATCATGCATTAATACCCCCGCCGTTGAAGGCTGTAGGGCTGTTCATGAGAGCAGTCGATTTCCAGATGACAAACTTTAACAAGATGAACTTCCAAGTCAGCGTGAGAATACTCTTGGCAGTCCGGACCGTCGGGCCTCACCGTCATTTTTTTCTACCATCATGGCAAGGTTGGCTCAAGCATCTAGGCGCCCTAACACGACAACAAAAAAACCTCATAAAAATGTCCACTCCAAAGCAAAATTTAATGCTGCAGGATATGCTAAACGCCAGGCCCGCAAAGTGAAGGAGGCTGCCCCATCTGAAGACGTGTACGAATATGTACCAGATACTGTTCGGCGGTCGAAGGTTAAGCTCGATTTGGACAAAGACGAGGATTTCGGTGGAATACCGGACGGCGATGACGAGAGAGAGCAGCTTCGTGCGCGACTTATTGGCGAGAATGAGGACGACGAGATGATTGACAGTGAAGATGACGAGGACATTAACAGTGATGCCGCATTTGAGGAGAGTGATGAGGACAGGTTTGCAGGGTTCTTCTCGAGAAAGGTGGGACCTTGCCATTGTCTTCGACATCGCCTAGTTAACAATTCTGCAGAAGAAGGGTGAAGTAAAGACCAAGGCGAAGCCTTCTGTACGATTCACGGACGTAGATTTAAATGAGGATGTGGACGAGGACATGGGCGGGGACGGGAAGGAAAAGGACGGGAGCGACGTGGAGGAAGATGAAGAGGGTGAAGATGACGAGTTCATTGACGTCCTCGACATGCTAGACGGTAGGGGCGAAACAGACAACGGTACTGACACCGAGGCGCAACTATCTTCATCTAAAACGGCGATGCCATCGACTCCTTCTCGTGCACATGAGAATGTGGAAGGAGGAGGTAATGACGAAGAGGAGAAGGAAGACGAAGAAGACGAAGAAGATCCTTTCACTCCTTCAGACGAGGACGAAGCAGCCCCGGAGGCCTTGGAGAACCTTCAAAACTTCGTTTCTACTCTGGACACCTCATTAAAAAAGCGCAAACCTTCTGCTGAGGACCTGCCTGTCGATGCGCCACCGCGAAAGCGTCGTATTCTGAAGGAACGGACGGAAGCAGGTGAAGAAAACGAGTTTCGCACACATGGAACAGGTATTCTGTTCCTATTCCATGACCTTTAGTCTTTTTAACGTACTTAAAGGATCCAAACTCAATTTGGATGACCTTTTGGCACCCCTTGCGTCGCAGCCCGACATACTTCTTTCTTTGAAAAAATCGGCCAAGATCCTCAACCCCTCATCATCATCCAAAATACGTACATTGTCAGCACCACTTCCGCAAAGAGCACAGGAACGCTTGGATCGAGAAGCAGCCTACGAGAAGACTAAGGAAGAAGTCGATAAGTGGAGCGCGACTATGAAACAAATTCAAGAGGTGCATGAAAACGTAAACAAATTGTACGCCTCTGACTCGTTTCTGTAGGCTGAACATCTCAGTTTCCCCCTTCAAGCTAAACCAGAGGGACGGGTTTCAGCACTAGAGCTGGCTGCAAAATTTCAGGTTCGGATCTGTCCATTGACTTTGAAATGATTTCCTTATACAACGACAGCCTATCACCGCTCTCGAAAGTTCTGTCGACGCGCTTCTCAAGACCGCTAAATTGCGCGATGAGGACATCCACGAGACGGAAGAGGGAATGTTGAAGATGAACAATCTCTCAGTCGAAGAAGTCACTCGGCGGCGTGCCGAGCTGCGAAAGACGCGTGAATTGATGTTCCGTGCTGAGATCAAAGCCAAAAGGGTAGCGAAAATCAAAAGCAAGACCTATCGGAAGATAAAACGGAAAGAGAAAGAGCGTTTGGGTGAGAAAATTAATGAGGGAGGCAGTGATGAAGAAGTTGCAATGCAGAAGGAGATGGATCGGGCCCGGGAGAGAGCTACGTTGAGGCACAAAAATACTGGCAAATGGGCTAGACAGATGAGAGGGAAGGAGAGCTGGGATGAAGAGGGCCGGAAAGGAATCGAAGAAATGCTGGATCGGGGAGAGCGGCTGCGGCGAAGAATCGCGGGGAAAGGCAGTGACGAGAGCGACGATGATAGTGATGACGAGGAGAGTGCCGATAGTCCAGAGGATATCCGGCAACATGCCTTTGATGAGTTGGCTCGACTGGATAAGGACGATGGGGAACTGTCGCAGGAAAAAAGTAAAGGGAAGGGCGTATTTGAGATGAAGTTCATGAAAGACGCCATGGCGCGGCAACAGAACGAAACCAACAAAATCGTGGACGATTTTGTCAAGGAATTGGGAGGTGGAGGTGAGGAGGGGCGGAGTGATAACGAAGGAGGCAAGGACCCTTCAAGCGGTGTCGTAGTCTCCCGGACAGGTGGTCGGGTAACCTATCGGCCTGGAGCACCGGTAAATCGTTATGGTGACATTTTTTTTAGTAAGTTAACGATGTCTTCAGACACCTCAGCCTCCGACCAAGACCTCGAAACCTTCAACAGTTCCATCGATAATGGTGGCCGAGACGGAAGTCGAGAACCCTGAGCTAACGTCGTCAGTACCAGCACCAGCTTCTGATGCGACTATCGAACCGTCCAAAGCCATGGAGGAGTCTAATCCCTGGCTTGCCGCCGGTTCATCCAGCTCCAAAGTGTCCCGAAAGAAAAATGAGGTCGTCGTGGACAAGAACAGCAATCTCACTGAGAAATCCAAGAACAAGCTCAAGAAGAAGGCCAAAAAGACCGAGAAAGAGAAAGCTATGGTACAAGATGATGCTGTGGTGGAAATCTCCGTCGAGAATGTCTTGACGTTGGGCAAGGTTGTGGACGATGGCGATGATGATTCGGACGGCAACAGTGAAGTTGAGACACAGGAGAAGATGCTAGAGACGAAGAACAAGAAGGGCAAGAATGTCGTTTTTGAACAGCGGGACCTCGTGAAAATGGCGTTTGCTGGCGATAATGTCGTTAAGGTATGACCAGCCTCTACCCGGAATGTCCTTCATATTCTAACGTTTTCCTAGGAATTCGAAGAACTTAAACGTCGCGAAATAGAGGCTGATGCGCCAAAAGAAGTCGACACTACTCTTCCTGGCTGGGTGGGATCTTCGTTTGTCGCTCAGGCCAAATACTAACAATATTCTTGTTAGGGCTCCTGGGGCGGTGCCGGAACGCGCAAAGCTCCTCCAAAGCCATCACTCATCAAAAAGGTCGCCGGTGTGAATGCCGCCAATCGTGCAGATCGTGGTAAAGGGCACGTCATCATCTCAGAGAAACGCGATAAGAAAGCGGCCAAGTACCTTGTCAAGGATCTGCCATATCCGTATACGAGCAAAGCACAGTTCGAGAGGGGTATGGAACAACCGCTGGGTGTTGAGTGGAATACGCGGGTTGGGTTCCAGAAGGCGACGTTGCCCAGGGTTGTTAAAAAGGTAAGGGTTGTCGTTCCCATCTATGGAAGATGCCAGCTAATTGCCTTCGTGTAGATGGGCACCGTTATAGATCCGTTGCAGAAGATTTTTTAGTGTAGCAAAATGCGAAACAGATATGATACAGATGTGCCATGCAAAGATGATATATAATGCTTAAAATGCAGGAATTTCGAAGGTGTCTGATTAGCAAGTAAGAATCCTCCTCATCTTTCGCCTTGCTCTGAAAAGTCCAAAGGAAACTGTGAGCGATATTGAACACCATTGCTTCTTCATCTTTTCTAAGCATGTGGGAACGACTCTTTCCTTCTCGAGACATTCCTCTTCATCATTTGAATGTTTCTTCAATTTTGGCTGCCCAGCGAGCTCTGAGAATTCTTCTGTAGATCGGCGTCGAAATATGCACGGTCTTATCGCCTTCGCTGTGACTCTCCGTTGCTTCTCCTCCTCGAAGCTGCAGAGAACCTCTGAGTGTTTGGTAATTGTTGGTTGGTACATGTAGGTTGTGATCGTTCCGTTGTAATTGTGAAGATTAGTGAAATAATCCTAGCCTTATATAGAGAAATCTGTGTCATGAAAGGAGGTCTGTTTCGGTGGTCTAATCTGCGCAAGAGACAGTCGCCCCAGCCTGAAAATTTCCACAGCCACAGAGTTCTAGAGTTCGCAATCCTAGACCGCGCACCGTACTTTCTGTGACAATCGACGAGAAACCGCCAGTGTACTTGCTCCACAAGCATTGGTTCAGCAAAGTTGGATGAGATGCATTGAAGTATTAGATAAGGAGGCCTGAAGGCTCAAGGCTGGGAGGATCTGTTAAGGGTGATGTTACAATGCTGGGGAGTGGTTTGCAGTCGAAGCTACTCGGGATCTCTCGCTTTTCAGTTGTATCAGTGACAATGGGGGAAAAGAAAAGAATTTATCGTGGATGGGAGGCCATGTATCTGCACGACTTTGCAAGTGCGTCATTTGTATGATCACGGAGATGATTTTTAGTAAATGTTAAGAGTATAATGCACGGTCTCCTGAGGAATTTGAACGCAGAACTGCGACATGCGTAGAAAGTGTAGAGGGAAACTACGAAACACCACTGTTCGTTGAAGGGAAACAAAGAGCATTCTCTTCCGCGCACGCCTCTTCATCGTCTTCATTCCAATCGCTCACCGTATCCCACTCGTTCTCAAACTCGATATCTAAGCTGAGCTCAAACTCCCCATCATCTTTCTCCGTAAACGGCATGAAGGACGTCAACTGTTGAGTCCAGGGATTATGCGATATTGGCTGCACCCACCGACGCTCTCGGAGTCGTTTGTGCCGCTCTCTGTCCTCTTCTATTCTTTTGAAAATTTCTTGTCGGGGGAGGTGCGCACGGTGGGTACTGCTGCTCTCCCCTGGGTTGTTTTCGCGGGCACTGATGTTGGCCAAGGCTTCATCGATTATTTCGGGGTCGATGACACGTTTAGATTTCCAGCTTTCGAGGATCTGAAGAGGAGGTGAGCGATTGAAGTAGTACACGGAAGTTTTCAGATGTATCGCGTCCATTTGTGCCGTAGAACAGGTCGTCTGCTACTAGACTTCTGGTTCTGGACACAAACGTACTTGAAAGGAAAAGGCTTAGAATGTGCAGACTGACTTGACGTGTGCTAATAAGATTGGGAAGACCTTCCCTCCCTGAAGGTACGACATATTCGACAATTTTGCCCAAATCTCGAGCGACATAGTCGACATATTGGTTGCTTTCTGGCCTGTTTGACCGTACAACCTTTGCATGGGATTTGACAAGCAGAGACATTTCGCAGAGAGAGTCAAGGAAGTACAAGGTGTTTATCCTTGAGTTTATTGAGCCCTACCAGCCCAGTCAGAGGAGAAGAATAATAGTTTTCATATGCAATACCTTTTGGCATTCCTCAACAATACAATCCCAGAGATCCTCTCCGCATGGTGCAAAGTATTTCACGGCAAAGGCCACTGCTTTGTGTATTGACTGTTGAGTACTGAATTGAGTAACATTGAGAGGAAACACGAAGGAATAAAATGGGAATACGTACGCATTCAAGCGACGCAATAGGGCTAGGAACTGGATCCTGACTTCGAAGGGATCCATGATGAAAGTAAGAGGGAAGGTGGCAACTTAGGGTTAGGGTTCGCCGAACTTGTCCTTTGCTCCACGTCCGTCCTGAAAAGTACCCTCATGTACTGAGTGACCAAAAGCAAAGGTACCGCCCACCAAAGCTATATCATCGCTGAGAAAAGTTGATTATCGACCGGCAGGTACGCGTGCAGGGCTATCTCTACGTGCAGAAGCACCGGAGCCGACGTGGAGCGCGATATCACTTCATTTACTTAGGAGAAGTCGTTGGCCATCCCAGGTGAGTATTCTGTATATCTTTTCCCTTGGAATCCTAGTGAACAATTGGGAAAGCTTGGTCATGGAACCAACACCCGCCCTTCACCGACGCAAATCAAGCAACCCAGACGACGACGCGATCACCATCGTAACTGAACAACCGACGCCGCCAAGGATGATACCGTCTATCATCGTCCCACCGCCACCGCCGCCTCGCAATCGAGTCCAGTCGACGCCAAATTTCGAGCCAAAACTTGCCTCTGCCGGCCCATATCGAACAGTGTTCAATGTTCCACGTACTCCTCCAGGGATCAACGGCGCGATGCTCTCTCCTTCTCGCTCTTCATTTCCTTCCAGCCACGCTCGAACACGTTCAGTATCGACACCCTACTCTCCGCCGCTTCCTTCCCCGTTGTCCTTCTCCTTCCCAGGCAACTCACTAACCGTACCAACATCGCAGTCGGCACCTACTGCATTGACATCCGCCAACGAAACTTCACCAACACAAAGCCGTCGGCATTCCCGAATTCATTCTCGAAACCTCTCCGTTTTCTTCCCCCGGCCCGGGTCTCTTCCAGAGGTAACCATATCTGAGGACGGCTCGCAGGAGGTCGAGGCAGCTGGCGACATTGAAGCCCCAGTATCTTCGGCTCCCTCAGCAGGTCCTGGCGTCAGTATGCGAGCTCCCCTTACACCTCTTGGCGCCGGATTCACATTCGGTGGACGTCCGCCTTCTTCAGCGAGCGTCCAGATGCCACCGCTCATTTCCAAGTCATCATCATCTATATCCTCTTCAAGACGTGGCCACCATCACAAACACTCCCTCTCTCATAATTTTTTCTCCTTCCTGGAGCCTGGCTCCCAGAGCAGGCCTGAGGACTTGCATACCCTGCCTACACCTTCACCTGTTTCACAGTGGACGCCAGTGTCGCCTGTACCGACGTCTGCTTCGTCTAACGGTCACACTCACAATGATGAAGACCTTGAGCCGAGTGTGCCTATGGGTGCTATATCATTGACGTTTGCGCAATTCGTCTTGGGTGCATGGTTGTGGGTATGCGGACAGCAAATTGGTTCTCTAGGATGTACGGGCCTGGGATATTGGGTCGTGTTTGATGCATTTGGGCTCGGGCTGGGGAGTGTCCTTCCTGGCTGGCTGGGAAAAGGAGCTGGGAAAAAAGAGAGGATGCGACGGCCGTATGGGTCAGTTTGCATATTATCTTCCACGTCAGACTGTAATGCTGATGGTGATGCAGGAATGCGCGGATAGAAACCGTGCTCATGTTCGCCCAGTCCGTGTATCTGATGTTTTCTTCAGTGTATGTCTGCAAAGAGACCGTTGAACATGTATTATTGAGTATGGGAGGTGGAGACGGTCATCACCACCACCATGGAGATGAGGAGACTGGATTCGGGTATGTCTATTTCACGTTTTGAGATTGCTCTCTAATTAAGCACACAGGATTGAATTCCCCGTCATCTCAATACTGCTTTCTATCTGTTCGATAGTAGCATCTGCATTCTTTTTCAACAACCATGACAAGCTGGTCACCGGTACGATTTTCGTACATTCATGCACCTCAAAATTGTTTGATCTCAGTCATCTTCAGTGACCGGAAACCGGATTCCATCACTTGGTGCATATATTCGCTCGTTATCTACTACTCATCGCTTGCGGGATCTCCCGCCTACATCTCCCTCTGCGATCATACTTTCCAATCCATACACATCGAGCTCTCTTTTATTTGCGTTGTGCATCCTTTTCGTCTCGTTCCTCATTCCATCGTAAGTAGCATGCATCTCTTTCCATCACGCGTCTATCTAACGTTCAGTCTGATCTAGATCCCAACACCAGGCTTGCGACCTCGTAATCGCTACCCTTATAACGGTGGTTACCTTCAACGTCTCCTACAGCGCCTCCGTTATACTAGGAGCCGTGCTCCTTCAAACGTCACCTCCTCGAGGCTCCGCGGGCGGGCGGATGGAGGCTTTTTTACGGGCGATGCGCGAGGTCGAGCGACATCCACAAGTGCTTCACCTACCCGCACCGCATATATGGCAGCTTACACCGACGTCCAAGGGCGGAACGATTGTGGTGACGATGGAACTCCATGTGCGGCCGGACTTGGGCGACGATGAGGTGTTGCGGCTGACTAAATGGGCCTGGGAGCGATGTACTAATGCGCTTGGCGGCGAGAGGGAGGTTACTGTTGGTGTTGTTAGAGGATAATGAGAGGTGCCTTGGGTATTGTTATAAGTTAATAATCACTATACTGCTCAATGGATTTGGATGCTCATTCTGGCCAAGTGAGGATCTATTTCTTTCTTGTTTTTTGAACCTTGGCTGTGATTAATCAAAAGAACGCGTCCAAGACGGATTTTCGTTGCTATGCTCTGATTAGGAGGTTTCATCCAGCACCATAAAACGAGAGAAAATAGGAACGCTTACTCGAAATGACTTTGGTCATATTCCTGCTGCCCGTTGAACTCCTGATTGATATCGTAATGATCCGACCCTGGGTTTGTCCAACTAGTTCCATACCGGAATTCATTCTGTGTTTGAAGTTGGAGAAAATGAAAAGCCCTTACAGTTCAAACATTCAAGTCTAAAATTCTATCTATATTGAAGAGTCGTTTGGAAAAAAAAAAAAAACCGGTACGTTTGCATTGTCTTCACTGGCAGGAAGCTAGAACAGTCCATTGATTTTCGTTTAGTCGACAAAGACATTGCCGAAGCGTTGCGGAGTGCCCTCCCAGAATTGGGCACTCTATCGTCGCCTATTTTCCTTCGCGACAACGGTCTCTTCCTCTTGGAAGAAATCTACCGGCTTAAGCGCAGCTCACTGCAGTCGCTCTACGCGAGAATCTATTGTTACCCTCGAAGTTTACCTTAGAAGTCGAGAACGACGGACTGGAATCCGATCTTCTTCGGTGATTGGCTCAGATGCCTTAGCTACGATCCTACGAGTTTTCTGTACAGCACCGTACTGGTGCACTACATACGCCTGGCCCGGACTGGGGATAGTTCCCTGCGGATCCCCAGCTCTTCCGTCGGTTCGAAACAGTCTTATTAGAATACATGTTACGTCTCTGGGGAGGGCATGGGTTGGTTGAAGAGTCATTAATGAATATTGTCCAAAGGGGGACATCGCAGACGACGAGGTTGCTCTGGAACAACGATTCCTGGGCAGTAATGAGGCTTCTTTGAGTGAGCTGTCGAGCCTTCTTCGTAGATGAATGTTTTACGAGTTGATACGACCTTGTAATGAACTGAGCATGGTTACACCGTGGTCCTTGGTAAAGGACGCTTGTCCGTGTGTGTGTGTCGTAATGCTTCTATTGTGATTCGCTGGAGTATAGCAGCGCAGTAGACTTGGATGATCATCACCGCGTAAAGGTTATGTCCGACATAATATTCACCGCCTACGCCGTCGACGCATCGCTTTCGCAAGTCGGAAGACTGTCTGGAGCGTACCCGTTTTCGGCCGTTCTCAACGAGGTCCAGACCCCGGAAAATATGTCTGGAGCGTTCCATATTCAATACGCCCGTATGTCATTGGCTATTCCTACGGTCTAGGCGATATCTTGTCGAGGACGACGTCTATTGGCTTTCCCGGCTGTCGTACAGACGCTCGCTTCGTTATAAAGCACCGTGCACCACATCCGCCCACAATAGGTCAATCATGACGGACACTCTGAAACTCGACTCGCTGAATATTTCAGTCCCGACAGCCCAGGACGATGTCCTGCAGACACCACATGCTGAAAAGGAGGAGGCCAAGTGCCCAGCTACCGGCGCCGTTGCTTCTGACAAGGCGACGTGTCCAGTCACCGGCGCCTCTCTCCATGAAGATCCTACAGCACAGGAAATTGACCCAGAACTCTTACGGACTTCGATAGACGTACGGATGGCCTACCTGAAGGATTTCCTTGGTTTCGGAAAACCCCAGCAGGATATACTCAATAAGACTAGCCCGTTGATATACGGTAGTATCCCTCAGATCGTGGATGGGCTCTATTCAAAGCTGTTCGAGTTTGATGTCACGAAACAGGTGCGTGTGTAGAGCCATTGTCGACCGTGATTGTTCAATTCATTGCCGTCGATAGATCTTCATGGAACGGAATGAGGTTTGATTCTGCCTTCCCGATTGAGTACCGGCGAGTCACTGACCTCTGTCAGGGCTTTGACGGGCCGCTACCAGCGAAGCTAGAAGACCTCACCCTAGACAGCCCACAGCTCGTGTATCGAAAGGTATGCTTGCCTATTGTTTTCCCCGATGAGCCGCTCACAACAGAACCCTTCCTCAGATTTTCATGAAAGCCTGGGCCCGACGAATAATCACCGCCGACTACTCCTCGCCAAAGACTTGGGCATATCTCGATAAAGTCGGCATTATGCACACCGGTGTCAAGAGTTTCAAGCACAGGGCACATGCGGCCCCCCTCATTGTACCTTGTGCGTAGGCTCTTTCCCTTCGCTCCGGCTTTCCCTTTAACCGTAAAGTATATGCAGATAGAGACTGTGCTCTGGCTCTTGGCTGGGTCTGCGATGTCCTGCAGACCGCTATCCTACAATTACCCGACGATAAGTTGTCAATGCAGGAAAAGATCGATGCTATCAGTGCAATCACCAAGGTGCGCCCTTGTCTTTTAAAGACTTGAACATCCCAACTGAACCGTTTCATTAGGTGATATGGATTCAGAATGACCTCTTTGCACGACACTATATCAATGAATGAACACTTCTCTGCACATTTGTTGTAGCCATACTTCGTAATGCTAATTGTACACTAAATAATATATCCAGTCTCAAGATCCCCTCCTCCACTCCCTTCCCAAATCACTACTGATGCACGAGGTGAAAGAAGATAGTAAGTAGCATGACAATGACGTTTAGAATCTATCAATACAAAATGATGCACATGCACGATGAAGGAAGGGTATACGACGTACTGTACAACAATATTTTAGCAAAACAAGGTTATTAAAGATAAGATCTGCATACGAAGAGAAGGATAACATTCTCTCAGGACTCATTAATTCGAATAGAATTTATATTCCCCTGCCGTCGAAGTTGGCCAGTAGGACGCAGATGCACTGGACTGCTCCGTAGCCTGCTGAGGCGGCCAAGGTTGTGCTATAGGCTCTCCCTGATACTGCTGAGCATAGGAAGACTGCCTTTCCAAGCTAGGCTTCACATCACCCTCACGCCGTTCGTACATCTCTTGCGCTTGCGATGAAGAGATACTAATATTTGCTCCACCATCATTAGCAAAAGGTGAAGGGTACGTTGGCGGATCAAACGGCGTCGGTGCATAATATTGTTGTGATGCAATGACGGGAGATTGGGTCGGCATTATGGGCGAATTCTGAGCCGGTGCATACGTCGGTGTATGGACATGCGTCGAGCCTGTCGTATAAGGAGAACTTGCAGCTGAAAGGGGGCCACTGGATGTCGTTGCTCCTCCAAAAGGACTTGATGCGAGATACGGACTCTGTGCAGAAACATACGATTCTCCGGGCTCAAAACGACTACCATTTTGATCGTACCCGTGGGTAGAATCATAAGAACCTGAGCGGTCATATAACCCGGGAGCAAAGCTTGATCCTTGTGACTGAATCTGGAGCGGCTGTGATTGGGAAGGCTGCGGATAACCAGGCAGAGTGTAACGTCGAGGAATGTCGGGTCTCGAGCCATCTACGTTCGGATAAGGATAGTTTACGGTCGAGTTCTGCTGCTCAGTCCGACGGGGAGTAAACGGCGGCAACGGATGATCCTGAGATAGAGATGTCGACCTCAAACGGAACGTCTCAGACTCAGCAACTGTCATGTGCAAAGGGGATGTGAGGGGAGCAGACTGTATGTGCTGCGAACACGATAAAGGTAGCTGATATGATGCGGGGGTAGGCGTAGAAGATGCCAACGGTGATGAAACCGGGGGGTGGTGATTATCAGCACCCGACGAAGACGTAGCAGAACTCGACGAAGACATGGAATCAAGCTTACGCCTCGTGAAAGGCGAACCACCTTCTTTTCCAGGTCTAATCCGGATGCCGACCGCCGGGTAGCTATGATGACCTCTCTTCATGTGCTTCTTCTTCTCATCCTTTCCGGTTTTTGACAATTCCATTGGAGAAGGATTAGAATTAGGTGACCTGAACGGTGGCAGAGGAAGCTCAGGCTCTCGCGGGGTAGGCTCAGACGGAAGTTGAGGGGACAGTAGATCATTGAAAATCTCTGGCTGTGGTTCATTATCATCATCCGCATACTCTGGGAAGCCTTCCATATCTTGCCCTGCCTCTTCATCGCGTTCTTCCACAAAATCATGCTTCCTCTTCAATGATCCCAGCGCTTCTGATCTAGAGCCCCGAATATGGATAGCCTTGACCTTCAGTTCCTCCATAGCCTTGACCTTCAGCTCCTCCATAACCTTGATCGCCTCGCCTCCATTGACGTCTTGACCAGACCCAAAGCCACAACCTCCTCCAAACTGGGACATTAGCCGAACATCCCTGAATATTTCCAAAGCGCAATCAATATCCTCCAAAGCAGCACTGGCGAGCATAGCCATAGGTTGCTTGATGGCGGTATGTGCACAGACGACGGCAGCATCTAGCAGAGAACGTGCAAAAGGATAGAAATCAAACATGGCAGAGGACAGGGATGACGGCCGGATGCCATTGAAAGACGACTTCTTCCATACCGAATGTAGGAAGCTAGATGCGCGTACGATGCTATGGGCAGCGTTCACTGAGCCAAACGACGCTTGGTGTGGAGCAGGGACCGTCTCAGACACGCTGGCGTGCTTCTTCAAGAACGGCATGTATATCTTTATGATCAGACGGTGCACAGTAATCGATACCTCGCAGCGCTGAGCCGCCAGGACTGGGTCCGGGTCGGAGAGATCGAGATCAGTAATGTCCAAGCGGTAGCAGGGTGTCAAGTCGTTCAACCATGAACGAATCTCTGACTCCATCGACGCAGCCTGGTCGATAGTATAGCCGTATCCGTTCTTCGAGGTAGACGAAGATCCATGGCCATAGCTAAAACGACTATTGCTTCCCATATCAGGAGCACACATACGGCGCTGGATCGCTCGCACGAGTAAGGCGAGGCTAAAGATGGTTAAATATTCTACCTTATTTGATATCATCAGCGACACATACCGGCACTTGACATCGAAATATCTAAATCCATCCCTGCTGAAACCTGTCAGATCCTTGGGAGTCGGGATCCGGGTCGAAACAGGCGAGAAGATCTTCTCATCAACATCTGCAACAGGAAGCTTTGTGTTGAAGTCATCACCGATGAGCGGAGAATGGCCCAACGCGTCCGAAACGAAGCTAAAATTAATCGTGAGCTCAGAATACCGCGAAGAGCAACATGACATACACATCATAGTAGAGAACATCCCACCAGATTCGCCTTCTCATCTCCACGTCAAATAGGTTGGCAATGCCACGGATCGCAGAAGAAGCTCCGTCGACTTCTTTGTTCTTCAACTTCCTTGCTGATCCGGACATATCAGTCGAAGACACAGGAACCTCCTGCGGGTCTCTCGCTAAACCCATTCTCCTGGCGATGTTCACCATTTTCCCAACCTATGAAAGAAATAGGGTCAGTAGAGACCGAAGCAATAAGAGTTGAAATTATACCAGAGGGAAGACTATTCCCCCCACACCGCCGAAGTTCTTGACTCTGTCATTTTGCTTCTCTCGCTCTCGCTCTCGTTTCTTCTTGTTACCCCCTTCACCGCTTCGCCCGGCTGCAGTACCGGCAGAATCTACAAGCGCGGGGCCTAGACCACCCTTTACCAGAAAAATCACCTGAAACAAGCAGGCCACCAAGTAATCCAACCCAAAATCATCTGAGTTGGTCTTGACCTTGGTACCTGGAGGAGCGGGCGCCGAAACTTGCGCCAAAGACCCCTCGTAGACAGATAGAGCCTGAACGCTGACTCTATACCAGTATTCAGGATCGGAACAGTTTAAGACTGCACGGGTAGAGTCCACTTGCATGGCATCCCGGTTATCGAGTTCTCGTGAGCTTTCCAGCGTCCCTAGTGCAAGGGCTGCACAGAGCGCCCCAAAGAAAGGTACACTCTCTCCGATAATCGGTTGTGCGTCATTGGGATCGTTGGGTGCAGTGGCGTTAGAAGGCGGAGTGCCAGGAAGAGAGTTATCAACCCTCGGTCCAAAGTAAACCGTCTGCTTTCCGCCTCGGTTTCTGTTCTTGTCTCGGTCGCGATCTCTTAGGGGATTCTCCGACAGGGGTGATCGAGACGCCGTCGCTATCATGCGCGAGGCGCGCGCACGGAAATGTTTCCAGTTTATGGACGGATAGGTATGACAGGTGGATTGTTCGGCTAGTTGGAGGAGAGACTGTACAGTATGAGGGACCGTCGCTGACAAGATAGATGGCGGAAGAAGATCGAGGAGTCCTAGTGTTACTCGAGGTTTTTGATTAGGTGAGTGCGGGAGCACTTCGGGGCTTGTTTGAGATGAGCCGGTGAATGGGGGAAGAGAAGGGGTTTCGTTCAAATTTCGTAAAGTCGTTCCATAATATAAGTTGAGAGGTGGTAGCGGCTGTATAACTCTAGATTGCGGGTGCTGAGGGAAAGCCTCTGATGAGGAAAAGAGACTGCAGGACATGGAAGACAATGATGTTCGATCGCCGAGGCTTTGGTCGGATGAGTCCTGCTGAGATGCGACCTCGCCAGTGGCGCATTCGGCTTTAACAACATTGGATCCGTTACTCATTGTGTGTGTCATGCCTTTAAGAGAAAGATGTGAATCAACTAGGTTAAGGTGGTCGAGCCAAATGATGGACAAGTCCTCGAAGGGAAGGGCCAATGATGTGTAGGGCATAGACACAGGCTGCTGGGGAATTAAAGGAAGAGAGGCTGATGCAGACACTGGAAGACTTGATGCTGCTGATGGTGGCGGTGGCGGCGCCCACGAATTTGACGCTGGAAATGAGGAATTGAACTGGCCCGAGGTCAACTGTGCCAATAGCGATTCCACCTGAATAAGTCGGTTATTTAGGGAATGCAAGTCTCTAGGTAGGTGCAAAAGCGGTGAGGTGCAGTGGTAACGATTAGATACACTGGGACGTACACTTTCTCAGCAGCGGCAGGTGAATATATGCATCTGGCGACAGTGTCGCGTTTGGTACAGCTCCCACAAGGATTCCTTCTGTCGCATTTTAGCTTGAGGCGCTTGCACTGAAGAAAACGATAAGTAAAAAGAGAATGCAGGGTACGAAATGAGGTACGTACCTCGGCGCAAACGACAGTGATTCGAGAGCGGACTTGACTGGACAACAAATTCAGGAGGACAGATCTGGGACAAGGACGATACTTACGGAGCGGTCGTCGCTGCGCTCGACGACGAGATGGGCTGGGACTGCTCAGCATCCATGGGAATGGTGGTGAGAGGGAAAGGAGTTCGGGTAGGCCAAGACAAATGATCTTTTAATTGACCGCATTTGGTCAACTTGCACAGGGGCCATGACCACACGGTGGTTCGCCCGCCTTGTTGGCGGTTCTTCCTTTATCGTTCCCGGAATAAATAGACAGCCAGTGTTGAATATCTTTATAATGACTTTTCAGTGTGAATACGAGCTTACCAGGCTGGAATACATGCTTTTCGAGCGCTTCGCTGGAAGGGGAGCAACTGAACCAGTTTGCAATATTATTGTCTCCGATCAAAATGATATGCCTCTTGTCCGATGTCTTCCCCTCGATAGTATTTAGTACCCGCCCATGCTACTAACTTGTTCGACTGTATTTCCGCTTTTTTTCTATTTCCTTGGTGTCTATCCGCCTCCGCTAACGAATTGTGTGTCGGTACCGACCGTACAAAGCGCCATGCTCCTTATCGCCGTATTTATTTTTTATTTCACATACTTCTGATTAGGCTGCACTCGTAAATTTGCGGAATTTCTCCGATAGGCTGGCAATCCACCTCTCCGTTCTGTATTTGTTTGGCATCTACGGCCATGTAGCGCGCTGTTATCTCATCCAACTGCACCCACTGCCCCGGCCTCCGCAGTTTGCGATCAGAATCTATCTTATGTCTACCGGTACTTCGTTCCGGAGCAAAGTTCAGACCTTGCTCGAGCTTTCTCACCCACCTCGTACCTTTGTCATGAATCACATTTCAGTCCTAAAGTATCTATGATCATGATCAACAGTCAGGCATCTATTTCCAGTCACTAAATACTTAACCCGGCTAGCATTTTTTGAAAAGTTCTTTTTCTCTTTCTTTTTGCGATCCCCAGGATAAGCCCGAGGTACAGTAACAGTCGGTCCCTCGAGTTTTTTTCAACAAGTCCACGGATCTTAACATCGGCTACGGCGACGTGCGCCATCAGCCTTCCCGGGCTTGGGAACCTTCTAGGCTCCAATGACAAATAACACCATGATAGTCATCCACATACCCCTCGGATACTACCTATCAGTGCTGAGATATATTATTGACCGTAGCCTTCATGCTATAAGATGACGGGCCGCGAAACATCAAGCTGAGTTAGAGTTACTTTATCCAAGCTATCGTGATTCAAGGTAGCGCATGCACGAGGAAACCATCCCTTCAAATCCATCATCCGACTTGGTTCGAAATCAACCAGATGACGCCCTGTGTCATTGCAGCTTACCTCCAAACTTCATATCAGGTGGGTCTTCTATTGAAACGTTGTTATGAATTCACAGCCTCCCCTTGCATATAACGGTCGCGGCTGCTCGCTGATGAAAGTAATATATACAACCTCGGCATCGGTTGATAGACTTTAAACCGTATCTACACGTGTTGCGCAGGGATGCAGGGCCATAAACTAGGTCCTTTACCCTTAGCTTTCGCGCGGTCGCGTGATTGGCGAGTGCGACTGTGCGACGTTCATGGTCAGAACTAAGGTCAGGACAATATCTTTATTGTGTCCTACGCAAACGTCCTTGCGGTCTCTGTCGGGGCCGTAGCTTCATGGGACTTGACTAGGTCCTTTTCCATCATTTACGTCCGGCGTAAGCTGAAGGCGTTCAGTGTTTGATCAATGTTTGCTTTACAGCTCCAGTTAGGACTCTGCGCTCAGCTGCTAAGATTTAAGCCATGGAATAACGTCCTTGATGCGAGACAATCGCTGATGAACCGGCCCTTTTGCTTCTGACGTCCACACTTATCCGAGAGGAGCTTCAGTCTGATTCTCAGCACGATACCATCACGCATAATCGACGACTTCGAACTAGCCCTGTCACTATTACCGCCTATCACACCGGATGCCTCATCAGAACTTAGATATCCCTGTTGGTTCTCCGTCGTTCTCGCTGGATGACTACAGCTGTTTTGCTCAATCAGTATCTTTCACCGAAGCTGAAGCCCGAAAGTGATATAATCAATTGTCCACATCCCCGAGAGAGATTTCCTCAGATGACAATGTATCTTGTCAGGGCGTATTTCCTCTCTTTTTAGGAAGACTCCATCCCGCTGAAAATAATCTCCATGCTAGTGCTGTTCTCAGAAAAAAGCGCAGTCGGTGCTGTAACTCCAACCTCTTCCACTTCCGATCTTACGCTCCGGATACGGACATACCTGTGATCTCGTTTCGTTTGCAGTGGAATGACTTAATTCGGCGTAGCCGAATCAAACACTGTTCATGAACAATATTATTGTACGTTGTTTCACTGATGTGTGTCATGAAGCTCGAAACCTTTTTCCAGGTTCCATACGACTGTCTCGAAGCCCGGGGCCCCTGCCGTACCCTTTCTAGCTGTATAAGATCCGGGAGATATATTGTGGGCTGTTCTTCCAGCTACATCTAACTTAGCTCGAGCAAGAGAATTGTGTTCGAGTGGGTTCCAGATGAACCTGATCAATATTTCTGTCGCAGAAGGGCAGTGACGAATCTTCCAATACGTAGTGGACAAGAAGCAAGGCAAGAGGACCAAGTAACGCGTCAGATTCATCGCGTCAATACTAGTCCCTCTTCCACCTGCCACATCCCATGTCAACAGACTAGCCATGGTCCCCAACGACGACTCGGTCTTCCCATTCCCATCCTGCCCGACGAACCTCCGTCTGACTCAAAGCCAGATACCAACCCCATCCTGGGCCCTCAAAAAGTCAAATACTGTTCGTAGTCATCTTTCCATCCGTATCGCTTACGGCCATATTGCATGTTTCTATCTTCCAAAGACTCGGATGTGCCCAGACCTACTCATCCTTTCAAAGCAAGATGAACTATGGTCACTTTTACAACTTGTATAACAACTTGACAGTAACGCACTTCTTTTGCGAGTGGACTGAGTGATTTGAACTTTGTCATAAGCAAGGCTTTGCGGACTTGGGGCAGGAGTTCATATGAGATTACTTCTATAAGGCTTCGTCGGCTTGTTCTGATTCTCGGTTTCCTGCACGACTGTGTCCGTATACGGTTGCTTAACTGCCTTCACCGCGTAGTGTACGTAACCAAGGGGTATATATACGGTCGGGTTGATATATAGGAGTAGAAAATAAAAGAGTATACCTAGGTCGGTCTATAAACTGGGTAAACCATTGGGTATAGAGTCGGGGACCACGTGTCTTTCAACAGAAAGAATCTCCTAAGACAGGAGAAGACACGAAACCCTACCAAAAAATGCACACAATCTTACCCTACCTTTCCACCGATTTGAACGCACCTTGAGTTTATGGCACCGGAAGTTTAGGCCATTTCGGGTCTATCGGATTGGCTTCTGCTAGGGCCAATGAATCTATCTTCCCATCGGAAAAACGAGACCTCAAAATGTTGCGACTTTTCATTTGATCTTCTAATCATAAAAATGAGTTTGCAGAAAAGCAGTTATTTTTAGTACATGAAAGGAGTGCTAAATAGAATATTGATAAGTTTTTCATTATGTTTCCCGTACCTAATATTTGGGGCATACAAGGGGAAAGCTAAGTCACAACATTTTCAGAATGCCTTTTTCCGTCCTGAAGAGGAATCAGCGCCAGCAGTGCTTCGACGCTTTGCCATTAGCCCGTCCCAAAACCTCGGTGCTCTATTTCTCATTCACAAGACGACCATAAACTTAACTTAGGCTGTCATGTCAACTTGCAGCTGTATGCAAACGGTTGTAAATTCCCCCTCCGCTCTATGACTATACCTAAATTGGTTCCTCCGTCCTTCTCAAATTATGAAAGTGACACCAAGTGCGGTGCTTGTCCCTGATATCATTGTCCACATTCCTGAAGAAGAATCCAACTGTACCGATGTGTCCATCCAACCGCTGGTTCGCGTTTCATCAAGAGCCAAAACAATTTCGAGTACGAAGGATCTGCTGTTTTGTAATAGGCGGTACTTAGAGGATTTAAATAAATAAGATCAGGTCAGTTGCTTTAGATTTCGTTGTCATACTACTACGTATTATCACCACAACGAGAATACACCCTTGCTTCACCCTACCTTGACGCTCTAAAAGCGCGCCTAGAGATATATCTGTGGACGTAATTTCGTCGTCCCTGCACAGACCAAGTAATAATCTGCATCCTCCCTATCACGGAAGATAGCGCTCATACACTTGACCCCGGCCAAGCGTACAGTCTGCAGGGTCAATGCAAGCTTCCTTCGGCATTGCTAGTGCTTCGTGCCACGGGGACAGTGACTAAATGGATAGTCCACAGGCTAGAACAGGCGAGACGTTAACTCCATCCTGCGTTTCGCCTCCCGAGCCTCCGTAACATAGTCCTTCATAAGTCCAACCACTTTCGACAAGTTTTGACTGAACTTGGCCGAGGTAGGAACCACATCAAGCCTATGCCTTGTCCCAGGTATGATCATCTGCGTCCTGACGTATTCTTCCAACTGCCGGAGCTTCTCTCGCGCCTGTTCCACAAGCACGGGATCTCCGTCGCCTCCCAGGAGATCGGCCTTGTTGGCGATGACCATGCGCGCTTTAGCACTCATACCCGGCTGGTACTGATCCAGCTCATCACGCAATACACGCAGCTCAGTCCAGGGTTCAGGACCAGCCAGGTCAACGACATAGACGAGTGCCAGTGCACGTTCCATTGATCGTAAGAAGGTGTGCCCTAAGCCTACATTATCTGAAGCACCCAAAATGAGCCCAGGGTTATCGGCGACGGTAAAACGGAAAGTTTCGAGCAAGTCGAAATGATGGCCAGTGCGAGAAGTGTGTTGGTTTCGTGTTAGGGCATGGGCGTATTCGCCTCGCCGGTGCCTTTCTTGTTCAAGCTGCTCCTCGGTTAATGTCTCATCATGGACTAGGCCAGTGGAGAGTCCACCCTCAAAGCTACCGTCTTCACCAACGCGAACGACGCCAACGATGGGATTGAGAGTGGTAAATTCATATCCAGCGACTTCAGTCCTTGTTCTACCACCAGTGAAAGCACGTAAAAGTGTGCTTTTACCAGCGTTGGGCATTCCGACGAGCCCTACATCTGCAAGGATCTTGAGCTCCAGGGACAGCGTTACCCTCTCGCCTTCGTGACCTCTCGAGGCGAACTTGGGAGACCTATTGACCTCACTAAGAAAGTGAGGATTTCCTAAACCGCCCTGTCCACCGGAAGCAATGAGATATCCGAACGATTCCGCGCGTCTTTGTCCCAAAGGTAAGTTGGTGTTGTCTTCCATGATTTCTTCCGTGTCTAGATCCAGAAATATCGGATTGTTCATCTGTTTCTTGCGCCGCTCAAATCTTCGCTCCCTTTCCTCATTGTAGAGTGCCGCCTCAGCCTCCTTGAAGGAGTCACGCTCCTGATTCGCTTCTGAGAACCGCGGATAATGCACCCATCGCCTCTCTCTCATCTTTTCCCGTTTTGTTTCATAGTCAAGACCTTCCAGGCTCTCTTCTTCGGTCTCCCATTCATCCGGTGAGGTCCTTGGGTCGTCCCTGGGCAGTTCACGGACTACAGTGCCCAGCGGAACGCGTATGATGGTGGGATCCCCGTTCCGGCCATTTTGCCAAGTTCCCTGACCGTTCCCGCCTGGTTGAGCATGTACACGCTTGGGAACTGAGGTCAAGGTGGTGAGAGATGATGTCGGGATAATGTAAATGTCGCCTCCACGGCCTCCGCTGCCGCCTGAAGGTGGGCCAAAGGGTTTGAATTTTTCGCGATGAAAAGCAGCGCAACCATTACCGCCTTTGCCTGTGGAACGTTAGCTGCATAATATGAAGGGCAAGGCGGCTCACCTGCACGTACAGTCACGATAAGATGGTCAAGGAAAGTCTGGCCCTAATGAAGGGTAAATCTACTGCAGAAAAAGGACTCTAGAAGACGCACCCCTTGCTTGCGCTTCCATTCCGTTTTACGTCTCCGTATATACTCAGTGCGGTCTTCATCATCAATAATGACCCGTGAGGTGCTTATACCGGCATATTTTGCAGATTTTACAGGAAAGGTGCAAAGTCGGGACACGCAGAGACGGCTGAGCATAAGCAGGAGGGAGAAAATATTTGTTATTTATTCATCTTAGGCGCAAATAGAAATAAAAATATTAACTACCTCGTTTGTCTCAACATCCAATTCCCCGACTGCCTTGATGCAAAAATCCTTTCCTGAGGAACGAGATATTCTTCTCTGAAGATATGGTCGAGGCAGTAGAGGGACAATTCCAGATCTTGCACAGCCCCAAGGACGAGTGATACTTATCAACTGTTGCTAAGGGCGGCCTTACTCTTCTCCCCTGCTAAGTACCACCAATGGATTTCTCTTTGCTGGAAAATAGTCTTTCCAACACCGTACTTGTGCTACCAGATGGTACACCTGCCTACCACATCGATACGCCCTTCAAATGGTTCGGAGCCACGACAACAATCAAGAAAATCATTGGCTCTACCTCGAGCGACATGGCCGTCATACAAATCAATGGATGGGACGCGAGCGTCGTACAAGTCTGGGGTCGCGATGTATGTCCTCAACGGACAGGGATATTCTCAACGTACGTGCAAGTTGGCCTGCTTCGTTATCTTTGAATTTCACTGAGGCTTCAGATCCGAAAGTTGGGTCGGCGCAGACAACCAGCCGTACAAATGGAAACTGGACATGGGGGAACTATATGTATGTCTTGCTTGTATTAGATCCAATGCCGGGTTTCTCACTGAATCAGCTCGTCAAAAACGACGGATCCCATGCACTCATTGCGAACTTTGATAATGGATCAATTGGGATATTTTCCAAACCGAGACCACCAAAGTTAACTATCACTCCGGAGGGTCTTGCGATAGCGGATGAGATTGTGGCGACCTTCATTTATATGGGCCAGAAACGCGAGAGACGGAGGAGACATAACAACATGTAGTTATGTGGTCTGTGTACGGCCTTTCTGTTGTGCTTCTGCCTATAAGCTGTTTCTCTGTGCCATTCATTTGCATGTTTCGGTTGCAGGTGTTATGTATATATCATTCCAATCAAGCCTCTGCTTCTACCATCAAAGTACCTTTCGGACTATACGTGACCGAATGGATGTCACCGGCATCCTCACGTTACCTTAGAGTATCCGTGGATCCTATGCTTCAGTACCGTAGACGGTATCAAATTTCACAATTACGGACCCATTGATGAAGGACACGCTACTTGCACAATACTCCGACTTTTCAATCTGTGAACGAAACAGCCTTGCAACGTTCACCCCTCCATCCTTTTTTCCATGAAAAATTTACTTCATACTTGGCCGGTGACCGGTGACATTTTAAATCCACGGCGCTATTGATCCGCTAGGCTGGAGACCAGTAATTCGAAGACTCTTCATTCTTACTGTCCTCTGCAAGGATAGTCGTGAGGCTAGCACCAGTGACCAAAGTTGCGCTGACCTCAAACAGACTCGGACGGTCACATAACGATAATCGTCTATCCCATCCAAATTTTGTTGTGCTTTGAATTTTGTTACATTGCTCTGCTTGCGTACTTGTAGTCATGTCTACCGAGTTTGGTAGTGTCTCGGTCACGGTACCACGTCCCACATTCTTTCTATCAAGATACATTTATCTACATACTTCGGTTCGGAGAGCAGTTTTTACCAGTGCGTTCCAAGAACGCCAATTTTCCAGCCTCATTTTTTTTTGGCAAGAACCGCGGAGGATCGTCATTGCCATATTCTGTAAAGTGACCGAAATCGCTTGTGCGCAGTATAGTATAAAATTACATAACTTGAACACGTCCAAAATACCAATAAATTTTTGGTTATAGTTTAACGCTGCATGTACTGAATAGCGGATGGTTTTCCCTTGACATCCAAATGCACGCCCTCCAGGCTCTTGCTGCTTTGATTGACATTCTCTCGAGAGGCCAATTCCATGCTAGAAGCCAAGGAACGAGGTTCAGATCGCTTTTCCGTAATGTTCAGTTTTTCGCCCACTCGGAACCTGATTACAGGATAAATAATAAACGGAGGCAATGTCATTGGAAACTCACATCCAAGAGGGTATCATGCTACCAGGGGGTATGACCCACTCCTCCGAATGCTCCAAGTTGGGGGGAACGATACGGTCATCTGTGAGTTTTCGAATGAGCCAAGGAAGGCCATTGAGAATCAGATATGATATAATTCCAGTAATGACACCGTAGGCAATGCTATGGCTTTAGTTAGCACGGTTGAGAACGTGAATAGAGATGGTACCAACTTATAAGACAAAGGAATGATAATTATGGTTAAGAAAGCAGGGACGCTGTCGCCAATATAGTCCCAATTGATTTCTCGAACACTATTGCCAAGACGTAAATCCGACGTTAGTTTATATGCTCAAAGAATAACGCACTTCCGAATCATGAGGGAGCCAACAATGACAAGTGCGCCTCCGGTAGCCCACGACGGTATTGATGCAAAGATCGGCGCAAAAAAGACGGAAACAAAGAAGGCTAATCCGGTGACTATCGCGGTGATTCCAGTCTTACCGCCCTCTATATGTGATTCAATGGAAGGGGCCCAATTTACATAAGAAAAACGAAACCATACCACTTATTCCCGTCGCGCTCTCAATGAACGCGGTCACGGGACTAGTTCCCATTAATGAGCCCATACTGATGGAAAACGCGTCTACGCAATAGGCCCAGGTAGAATTCTCGAAGTCCATAGTAACTGGATCCCGTAAACCAGCGAACTTGGCCATTGCGTAGAGTGTGCTGTCGACCAAGTCAAATCACGATAATGAACGGGATCGATCGGACGGATCCTCACCCAGTCGTGTCTGAAGGGAGGCGATTCAGTCTTCCAAGCGTATTGATTAGTTTTTATACACATACCTAAGATATCTACGTAAAGGAAGGTGATCAGTGCATACCACACTTTACCGTTTCTGATGGGATTGTTCGCATATAGTCGCCACGGAAAAAATCATCACGCACCCATAGTTGTACTAAATATGACGGCAGCTTGAAATCAACAAGAGTCTCAATCAGAGTGTGCAATGTACTCACGTCTATGACATTACCGACTCTAATAAGAGGATGGAATGTCACCACCTTCTTGAAATAGTCGAAAAGAACATCACCAGCATCAGTGTGCGGGAAATAAGTAACGGCGGTAGGTCTGGGCCATGAGAGAATGGACGTCATGAACACCCCAATCAAGATGGCGCCGCGAACGCGATACAACATGAGAAGAACGGTTAGAAATCTGACAGCGTATCGTTAATATCTCCAGCAGGAAGAGGAGTGACGGCATCGTACCCCCCAACGAAGATACCAAGCCACATCGTCGGATTCTGCAGCACTCCATGAGCGCAGTAATTGGGCAAGTCGGTGATCCAGTCTTCTGGTTTACATCCCCCGAGTCCGACCAAGTTCGTGGTGTCACCTCCGATAACTCCAAGCCCATTAGCCGCTATACGTAGGCACGATGATGAATGACAGGACAGTTCGGCAATAGAAGCGCGAGCCACTCACATAGTCCGATTAGCCTGTATACATAATCACGGACTAGTAAGATGGGGTTGAATTGAAGAAATGACATAAAGTACGCGATAAAGAGACCAATCCCAGAGCCGATGCCCAAAACTAGAGATTGTGGCATGATTCTGACGAGCCATTGTCGAATTCCGAGTAAAGACAGTGCTAGGAAAATCCATCTAAGAGAAGGGTTCAATAGGGTAATAAGAAGGGGTGGGGCGAAGGGCATACCCTTCGAGAAATACAGCTGCCAGAGCTTCGCGGTAGGTGATGACGCCAGAACCATGAAAGCCAACGATTGAATATGTAAACTAGAGCGGGAACTAAGCCAAGATTGGATCGATAAATTTGTGGTTCGAACTAACGTAGGCATTTAGTCCCAAACCTGGGGCCATCCCGATTGGTAAGTTTGCAAGAAGGCCCTCGAGTACAGAGGCGAGTGCAGAAATTGCCGCGGTTGTGGTTATCAGGTCGTTGCGGACGTCATTGACACAAGAGAGATAGCCATCGTCAGTGTTGCAGATAGGATCAGTCTCGGACGTACAGACGCAAGTACCTCCGGAATCCGATAGAATGGCTGCATTTACCGATATCTAGACGACAAAGGGTCTGTCTAACTCTTCTTCGAATCGCAAGAAGCCACGTTACGTACAATGTAAGCCATCGCAGCCTAGAAGCACGTTTAAACGAACAATTCGGGCGCGGAAGTACAAAGTACAGCCTTCCTCACCCATGTTGTAAGACCAGCTCGGATTTCAGTCTGTTAAGAATGAGACGAATCAGTAAGGGGAAAAAAAATGAATTCTTGATCTACCGTGAAACGAGATCCAATTCTTTCATTAGGATGACCTGAGCCCTCCAGATGAAAGTATCTTCCCACAAACGAATCAGCTACCTATTGTCGTACAGGAGAGTCGGTGGTTAGTGGAGAAATAACATGTTCATGGCACATACATGGACATTTAGACGGTCGAAAACGTTGACCATGTTGACCAGGGCTCTAGGTACCGGAAGGGAGAAAAGTATTTGCCACGATGATACTACATCATCGAGTTTTTCATTGGTTTAACAGGCTTCTCTCTCCCACAAGGGGGGAATCGGCATCACTTGACCCAGTGGAAGAGCTTCTCTTGGCCAGATGGCTGCAATCAACCCAAACCTAAAAAGATCAATTCGGAGCCAGAAATAATCGACTTAATTAAGTTCAAGTTCGCATCCCGATCGTTCCGCTCACTGTTCGCAGATGTCGAGACTGCTCCTATCTAACCAAGATATCCTTGTATTCCTTGGAAAGACAATCGCAACCACCGGAATCGGGACACTTTTAGATTCGTTGAATCTCAGCCCTCCGAGTTCGAATGCGCTCCATAAACACATGATTTGCTAACAGTCTATACAGAAAGCGTACCTGAATCAGTGCATGAATTCGTCCTTTCAAATTGTCTAGAAAAGTGAATATGCTACTTGTAGTAATATTCTGCGGCTTTGAAGACACTGTATCACTTCGCTACGTGTGGTCATCATTGTCAAGCAACGAACAAGACCTAGAACATAAATTCACTGATTAATCAGAAGACCGTTTCGCTCCCGTACAAGGGTCTGAGAATACCCTGGACTTCTCGGGCATCAGGAGCTAGTTCATAAAAAGGAAGAACCATTCAATCACTAACAGAGAAAGAAATTTGAGGACCGCGCTGATTGCCCAGCTGGTTTGTTAGTGGATATAGATTCACACCTGAGTTGGCGGCGATGAACTGTCGTTCACACATACATGAGGAACTCCCTTAAGTGACTTGTCCATGTTGATTCATTAGAGTTGGCCGAAGAGCGCCCCGGAGATGTCCTACAGCAAAGTGACGTACGCGATAAGATGTGAAGGATGCTACACCGTCCACTGGCGTGACATGGTAAATGGTGATGAGCACTAAATACCATGAAGGCCAATGCCCTAGGAGTCTTGAAGTATGGTTTGTTATGCAGGGACGGAGAAACCTCTGTGACTTCGAAGCACCGACAAAGTATTTGCGACGTCCAAGGGCCTATTCCTTACGCAGAAAGACTATGGAGGAGGCTGCAGGAGGACGGAAATAGATACTCGCACGTCAGTGGATGATAACTTAAAGCAGCACCATGCGAGCACTCATATCTTTGGCTCTGGGCCCACTAGACAGCTAAGCCTGAGTCACAGACTGACAGCCGCAAGACAGTCGTAACCTTCTCTCCTTATGATCGAGTTGTCTTGTACATTGGCAGACAATATATCGAGCTGCAAGTGCAAAAAAGTACTCGCGATGGTTATACAAGTTCCTGTTGATCTTATCGTGAGCCAATGCTACGTAGAAAACGGATCAAACAAAAAACGGAATAGGACTAGCCTTCCTTTAGCTCATTAACGGCATTTCTCAAGGTCCACTTTGAAACAAAAAAATCCATAAGCGAACTAGCGTAGAGAATGATTCATCCAAGGAATTCGGTTGGTGCAGAAGAAATGACGTCACACGTCATTTCAAGAATTTCTTTTTCCAAGTCTCAAAGCTGAGGAGATACCCGAAGAGCTATAGAGTGGAATGAGAGTAAGACAATCAATGACAGAGCATCTCACCCATGAGAGGGGTTACCGGTCACCAATTGATCGACTCAGAGCATCTGCCGCCGGCCCATGCTAACTGGCAACGCCTGCCGGTGTAGATTTCACACTGTATAGCTTAATAGGTGGTTTCGTTTGTCGTTAAGAAAGCTAGGCTGAAACTAGCTTGTCACCGGGAGATGGTCGACATGTGAGGAGATAGCATTTGTTCCTTATTTTTGCAACAATTTCAATAACGGCAGACACGCCCAGTAGAAATGAAAGCAGCAGCCAGGGAATTCTGCATCGCGAAGGACGCAATATCCGGTCATGCAACGTCTAAAAGCCGCATGTCATCCTGTCAATGAAGCTAGTATATTTGCAGTGTACACTTGTGAATGATGGATGAGCTAGTAAGAGGGATATCCCTTGCTAAAATAAAATAGTGGTAGTAAAATAACTCGAAAAAGAGATGTGCAAACGATGGCATGCTCAACTGGATATCCAGAGTTCGACACCCTTCCTACAGCTCCCTTAGGGCGCTAATAGCTTCCCCAATGGTCCGCCGATTCCACCGTCCCATCCACCCTTGCTTTTCCTCCATCATTGACACGAAGTTGCCACTTTCACTCATGACACGCTCAAAAGTCGGCAGTGAAACAGGTGCAATCGAATCCATAAACGGTGAATCTGATCGGGGACTCAAAAGTGTGAAATCCGCCTCATCAGGCTCAACATGTGAGGGCACCTCCTGAATAGGGTCCAACAGTGAAGGCGTTGGGGAAGGAGGTTCAGAAAATATCATGGAGGATACAGGCGTTGTTTCCCCTCCGAACCGACCATCTTCACATGGGCATGGGTCCTCTAAGGTTCCCAGGGTACCTGTAGATTCAGGATTAAGCATTACATCGGGTAAGCTACGTGTCCTGGTTGGTGATCTCTTATGCGTCATCGAAGAAGAGTTGTCGGATGCCGGTAAAATGGGAGGGAGCGAAGGCATGACGATCCGTCCAGACATTACACTCTCGCAATTCTTCGGCACAAAAATAATTCCTGCTTTTGGGTACCGTATATCATTGCCAAAATGTTTGGCTATTTTCCGTTGTTGCATCTCCAGACCGGATGATGGAATCGGTGACGGTGGGGGGGCATCTAGTTTTTCAACGTCCTCTACCTCTGGAAGCGACCGCCGTTCTTCATCCACAGCTTCTGTGAACATGTCATCACCTGGAGGTCGAGGTAGCGAAACGGGCTTCGGCAACGACACAACAGGCGCTGCGAAGTGTATCGAACTAACATCTGATTCCGAATCCCCGATGAATGCGTTACTGTCTATCTCCTTTTCCTCTTCCTCAAGCATTGTCTTCCCTTTCCAAGGGGCCGAAATCTTGAAGCCGAATCCAAAATTATGCTCTATGTGGAGTTTGGAAAAAACAGAACGAGGCTTGGACCCTGCACCTCGCCCAGAATAACGAATCTTGGCTTGCGGCGGCGGCGCGGAAGGCGCCGTATTGACGGGTAGAGGAGGGAAACGTGATGGCCTCGCGATCGGAGAGAACTGAGCTCCACGAGCCTGAGCTAGACAAGGCTCGCTCTTCCGGGTTTTCGGCCGAGGGGGTAGGACCACATGGGAGGATCCCAACCCTCCGCGTCCTATTATCCGAAAGCCATGTTTGGGCACGCCTTCCGATAGGTCCGTACTGCTAGGAAAACTAGGCTTGCGCTCCCGTGCCTGGGAATTGCGAATTATGTGTGGTATTGACAGTGACAGTTTGCCCTTCTGTTTCCGTGGCGTGGATCCAAGTTTTACTTTGTCTGCCACGATATCAGTGTTCCCGATATGGGAACTTGTAGCGTTGATGCTCTGAAGGTCAGAGGAAGACGATTGCGTTCGCGGCCTGCGATCATCTAAAGAGTACCATCAAATGAAATACATGAAACGGTAATGGAGAGCGCACTCCTAGCTTGTCCCCTCAAATCACCTAGAATCGCGGTGGAAGTGTGGTGTCTTCCTAAGGAGCCATCAGTCAAATTGCCTGAAACAGAGAACCCAATATGATTGTATACCATTTGGAGGCACCACAAGTGGTCCTTGGAATTCGTCTGGTATTCCAGGTATCGAAATGGACGAACTTGCTTGGGAGTGAGAATGCTTGGAGCCAGAGTGAACAGAAGTTTCAGAGGTGTTGGCTTGGGAGTTCGATATGCTTCTTTTCCTGAATGGGCAGCGCGTCATAGGCTCTACGATGATGAGTGAAAGTGGTCTAGCCGTTAAAATGGTTGCGCGAAACGAGGTAGAATGGCGTCGGATGTCCTAGACAGAACTGAGGGTCAGTAAGGGTCGGACGAGCCTACGAAAGTAGGTAGACTGAACCTTTGGCTGTATTGGCAAGATTTGTGAGGGAGGCGCGAGATGGATCATGGACAGGTGTCAAAGGTCAGTCCGAAGTAAGAATGTGGAGTTAAAAGAAGCTTTCCACACGCCCAGTAACCGGAGCTGATGCTATTTTCTGGTGATGGTGAGAATCAAGCATCGAGTGGGTGACCCATTCCAAACTGTTGCGAACATAGTGTTTGAATTCATCATCGTAACCGGATCAGGGACCACTTTTTGATGGTTTGATGACCATCAGATTTGCGACGGCCTATCTAACGCACAGACCGTGTTTGTCGTATTGGTAGGCAGAACTTTGCTTTCAGCACCGTTGGTAACATAAATTCCTCTTTAGTTACAGCTTGCACTTCGGGTTGTAGAAGCAAAGGAACTGGCATTCCTCGGGTCCACTGAACCTGCTGTTTCAGCACAAACACCGAAAAGTAGAATAGGAATAAAACTCCTTAATATGGTGTACTAACCCCATCCAACAGGATCAGGAACCTCATCACCATGCATACAAGTAGCATGTATCATGACTATTGGTTCCCGTACACGAGGTTATCCAGTTTCATTGCAGCACGTAAAAGGCCATTGCAGGAAATAGACGTTATCGCAGAAAACCAAGCGTCAACTAAGACCAGTAGATTGGGGTTACACCCTGAGTCCAGGAACACCGGGAAATGTACATATCATGATGCAACACGCGAGCGCGCGTGTGAGACATTTTTTTGCAATGCACCAAACCGTAAGTAGAAGATAAGCGAACGAATTGCATATCCCCAAAGAGCAACTACCGGCACGCCACTCCGAAAGATCTTTGGGCTAAATCATGAGAGCTATGAGTATATCGCGCATATTAGTCAAGAAGGACGATTGACAACATCTAACTCAGTCAAGAATAAAAAATTGCTTACGCTGAAGACGTTGGTCTACTGTAACGCGCTCTTTAAAATTAAGGCTTGCCTTGTAAGTAGATGAATTCAAGGGATAACATCCCTTCTCGGTCGAACACTGGTCTGCCCGAAGTAATTAGTGAGGTCCCAGTTGATGGGATCATCGGCAATAGAGGAATCTGTGATCTATAAGGATATAAAAACTGATGTGAATAGTCCCATCATCTAAAATGTCTACTTTTGTGGGCTCTTGAAACATATACCGGTATCGACGGAACGTTCCGCGTCTAATAATCAGAATATACTCGAGCCCAACGGCATCTATGCACAGCAGCTAATGACTTACGCCAAAGACTATACCCATACCTACAAATTCTCGGCATCCGAGAGAGGCGGAATGGGCGTCGGCATACCCAGTGCTTCGTGGAGTGGTCTCTTGTTCAGCATGCCAGAGTACTTTGGTTGGACAAAGAGTGCGCTGCAAATGCGTTAATCACGGCAGCATCGAATGATATTGACTGACGTACGACGCCTCGACTAGAACTTTACCCTCCAAGTCCTCTATCCGTCCAGTGACAGTAATCTTTCGGCCCTGGAGCTCTTGAAGAGATGTCTTGATGACAACAAACTATATTATGACGTGAGATTACGAGAGTTCGTCTACAGAACTGACAGACCTGATCAGCAATCGTAGGTGCCTTGTATGTAAGTGAGAGCGTTGCAGTGACACCGACTTTCTCGGGAAGGTTGACGATAGCCTGATGGTAAAGTGACAATTCACCGAACGAGCTCATGAAGCCAGAATCGACATACCAGTCTGCCCAAACTCTCGTCTAGCAGCGTAGCCAGCAATCCACCATGAATGATCCCATCGTGTCCACACAAGCTTCGGCCAAGGTGGACAAATATCCACGCCTCACTCTCGTCCCTCTTTGCCCTGACTACTGGAGGAAGTGCCAGCTTACCCGGACCCCTTAGCGCACCCGACGTTAGATGGTTAACGCGCCTGTCCTCGGGAAAGTTCGTATACGGCCGTGTCTCGTACCACTCGTCCGCATCGTCCGCCTTTCGCACCTTCTGCAATAACGGAAGATTCTGCAGCTTCTCTTCCAGCGATTCCGTATAGGCGATCACATCGGGTGACGTTAAATCAGACGGAGGCACGGGTGCATGTCGTGGGTAGAGAAAGACAAGCTCCTGTGGTGGGTAAATTGCACCGCCCAAGTACAATCCCAACCCCGCGGCAATACCAGTAAAGAGAAAACGTGGACGACGCGAGGGCCCTGCCTGCGTCTCCGTCGTCAGCTGTCTTCTGAATGCAGGCAATGTTAAAGGCCGTGACCTAAAGCTGATCAGAAATCCAGCCCGTAATCCTTTCAAAAGCATGACGAGGAGGAAAGGAGGTGGTGGTGGAAAGAGTCACCAGCAACCAGCTTCGGTACGTTACCTGTACTTCCAAACAGACGATTGCCAAACAAGCAACGCGATCTTCTTCTGCTGCGGTAACTTCCTTAAGGATATATTCATCGTCGATAATGATTGCTGGGTCTTATATATTGCATGGACATCTGTCACCCTGCCAGTTTATCGCATTAACCGTGGGCGACACTCGAGCCGTTGGTAGGGCCAATACCGTGATTTACAATTATCTTGGCAATCCAATGCCGAGTTTCTACTGAATCGCCCGGTCAGATGAGAATATTTATATGTGTGTTGTTCTTCTGTAACACCGCTAGACACTCGGACGTGCGGGAAAAACATACCAAGTGATCTCGCAACGGGTCTCATTTAAACGAAGTCACTGCGTCAGATATCCCCCAACAAGTTAACCATGATCCTCATCAGTTCACTTGCCTTATTGGCACTCCTCTGCTTTAACCCCACGCTCACAAGAGGACAGTTGAACGCGACTGTCGCTCTTGACTGTTTGTATCCTACGGCTTCCGTCCACGTCACCTTGTAATTATTCTCGATTTAGATGGAACGTTTTTTGGGGCAGTCAACGAAACCTCTGGGATCGTATCTTACTTGGGAGTTCGCTTCGCCGATGCGCCTATAGGAGACCTACGATGGCGTGCACCAGTCTCTCCGCCGACAACTCACCTTGGAGAAGTCGATGCTACCGATGTAAGTTTTCCTCTGAAACGTCTGAAATATATGTCAACGTAACGTAGTACGGTCCGACTTGTATCTCTACCTCACAGTCATTGACAGTAAATTTTACGACGACATCGGAAGACTGTCTCTTCGGAAACGTATGATCCACCGCATATTTCTCTGCAGCTAATACACAGACAACGATGAATTTGTATGCAGGTTTACGTGCCGATCGATGCTGATCTATCTGCTCCTTTGCCTGTACTGGTGTATTGGCACGGTGGTGGCTATCGAGGCGGCAACTCACACTCGTACACACCGGAATGGCTCATGCATTCATCCACGAATCCATTTGTGTTCGTGACATTCGAGTACCGACTGGGACAATTTGGCTTTCTTGGTAAATGTCACAATGAATCTGTTATTATTAACTTATTGGCTTATGGAGGCGAATCAGGTGGCTCTCTGCTTGCAGCAGATGGCGTGATCAATGCCGGCCTACTTGACCAGGTGGGTATCTGTGCCTATACATTGATTGCTATGTCTTGACGAAGCTCTTGCGTAGCGTGCTGCTCTTCGGTGGGTCCAGCGTTACATAGGTCATTTCGGAGGAGATTCAAGGTATAGGATTGATCGCTTCTAGCTTTATATCACGCTGATAATATATCGATATTTTCAGTCGCGTGTCCATATGGGGACAGTCCGCGGGAGCGGGCTCGACAATGTTCCAGGTATACGATTTTAGTGTTTACTTCCCATCCTTCATTATCTTCGCTACAGGTTATGGCAAACGGTGGTTATAATGAAGACTTATTCCACGCGGCAATGGGGGATAGCCCAACCATGAATTATATGCCTCTTTATAACGACACCTATCCCGAGGAACTCTTCTCGCAATTTGCATCGTTTGCGTATGTTACTCTATCTGTTATGATATGCTTATCATTGCGACCTATTCTTTCATAGTGGTTGCGGAGGGCTAGGAAGCGAAACGCTAACATGCTTACGAGCTGCAAATAGTAGTGTGCTAACAGTGGCGGGTAATGCGACCGTCAAGCAGCGAACCTCGACTTTGTATCCATTTTCACCAATTATCGATGGTACTTTTATCCGTGAAGGTCCCGTAGAAGCATTTACCAATGGCCGATTTGCACAGATCCCTGTCTTCTACGGGTACGTTCTTGAATACCGCACCAACATGTCACGTTAACAGAAAAGCAAAAGATCCAACACCAACGAGGGAGCATTTTGGTCGGCAGGGCTTCCCAATGCAGCCGCGAACACCTCCACACCGAATGCCACAAAAACAACAACCTACAATTTCATCCGAGGGCAATATGCCAGTTTCACCTCCGAATCTTTCGAAAAGGCACTTCACCTGTATCCCATCGAGGACTACAACAACTCCCTCGTGCTTCAGGAGCAGCAGATGTATGGGGAGATGAGGTTCATCTGTACCGCTGTGCTCATCACTGGAAGCGCAACCGACGCTAGCCTCGACGCATATCAGTATTATTATGACAATCCCCATCTTGGGGACTACCATCATTATGAGCTTCAGGCATTCTTTCCATCTGAAGAGACTGATTTTACACCTGATGCCAATGATGAAGCACTCTTCGAGATTATGAGGAAATACTGGACATCGTTTGTTACTTCTGGAGTACCACAGGCGGCACCTGCACCTCAGTGGCATGTTCGTACATTTATTTGTCGTATGCAGATCACGTTTATGGTGACTATTTTTACAGACGGCGTCGACGAGTGATGGAAGTCAGCGAATGCGTTTGCAGCCTGGCAATGTTCATATGGAGGACGTTACAGATGGACTGAGTGAACGGTGTGAATTTTGGCACAGTATATCTAAAGAGTTATGAACATGATTGTTATGCGACCCGCGCGTGTATAGAGATAAAATTCTGGGATTTTGAAGAGATTTGAACTAACCGGATCATTATGTGGAGTTGGTAGTTGCAGTCGTAATCTTAGAGTCAGTGTTTGTCAATGAACGTAATTATGAGGCCAGAACTTAGAAGAGGAATGATAATTCGGCGCTTATATTATTGAGAGGATCATGAACAACGGAAAACCAAGAGCGAAAGAAATGGTGGTTTGATAACAACTAGCAAAGAAGGAGTTTGTCAGAATCATCTTCCGTCTCCTAATATAAGAACTAGATCTAGATAAGGATCATAAAGGTTCTGGCATGAAGTCCAAGTATTATCTTTTAAGGGTTATGGGCTTGGTTAAAAGAATTTATAAAATTCAAAGAGCCTTCAACATGCTACTCAAGACTAAACCTTGGACTTTAAATAATTCAATTTCTAAGTTCTACCTAGGGCTGCGCGCTGTCACCGTATTGTACGGTTTTCGGTAACCGTTATACGGAAGACGGATCGAAGCCGAACACACTCTAATGATGTTGGAGGATATCCGTACGTTTCATCTTATCTTACTTTTGATCACTCGCTCTATTTGCCTTATATATACTTACACCTCCTGTCATTTCCCGATCACCTATATAGTCCAGCCGTTCCTATCTGTATGCCTCAGTCGCTTCACCCACGTTGTGCCCGACTGAGGTATGTATATCCCTACTGTGCTTATGACTATGATACTTACACTCGTTCGTAGATACTCACATATATTCTTCTGTCAATAGGTACAGTAGACTCAATACAGTCGCTTCACCCACGTTGTGCCCGACTGAGATACTCACATATATTCTTCTGTCAATAGGTTATGAGGCCCCGTTGCCTATAACTACTCAGTCAAGAAGAATACGCAACGGAATTTCGACTCAACTTACTGCTTGAATTTATACCATACCACTACTCTCACCACTTTACACCACACCCCTAAACGATGTCGTCGATGTCGGGAGTCACTATCCTCCCTGACATGAGTAGCCATTTCAACGGGAAGAACTACGCCTCATGGAAACTCCAACTTACTGAGTTACTAAAGGGAAAAGGCCTATGGGGATACATTGCAGGAACTACTGTCTGTCCTGCCATCCCCGCCACCACTACCACAGCCACAGCTACTACCACACCCCTCCCACCAGACCCTACTCCCATATACTCATCCTCTCCCTCGTATGATGAGTGGGTCTTTCGTGATCAGCTCACCCACTCGAACATCGTCCTCAACGTTCTCGACCCCATTGGTCTAGGGGTCAAGACTGACGGAACGGCAAAGGAATGCTGGGACTCTGTTGCTGCGGAACACGCAAAGAAAACGGATATGGCCCTTTCCGAGGCTGAGGCATTGCTGAATGCAGCGAAGTTTGACGGGAACAGTGACATCAATATCCATGTCGCCGACCTGCGCACGAAACGACGAGCTGTGAATGACCTCCGAACCACAGCATTGAGTGATCAGGAGTTCAAGGGAATAATTATTTGCTCGATAATCCCGACTGATCACTGGATGCCTATCCTCCCAAGTTTATACGGCATGCCAACGTCCTCTGATGTGTTTTCCCATCTCCAAACCCATGCCGCCACGCTTCGTGCAGCAGGTAAAGGTCCTGCCAACTCCCAAGCACTTGCGGCTGGAGTCGGAACCTCTGTCGTGGTATGTGGATGTCGCAATCCAGATTGCAAGGCCCGTGATAAGACTAGGCACACCACCGAGAATTGTTATTGGCCAGGAGGGGGAAAGGAGGGACAATTCCCTGCCAACTTCGGCCGACCTCGCCATGCAAACCAGGCAATCTCGAACACCACGGCCGATACTACGAGGCATTTTGTACTTGCTGCACATGCTACTACAGTGGAAGCCGATCGTGATGATGACGGCATTGTAATTGAGGATGGCAGCACTGGCGAGAGGATATATGAGTGGAATGGTACCCATTCCTTCTGGCGCTGGGATGAAACAGAGAGCAACACTATATTGATGTCGAAGGTTGAAGAAGAGACAGACCTCGAAATGCCTCCTCTCACTGACATCAATGACTCTGATGATGAAGATGTTGCTGGAGACGATGAGATACCTTCTGTCAAGAGTATAGACACTAGCAAGACCAACATTGAGAGTGTAGGACACTTTACATGTGAGGCTGACCCTGCCACAACAGCCTTTGTCACGACTACGTTCGAAGGCCATACCCCAGCCATCACTCTAACCTTCATGGATTCTGGCGCGAGCGACTACTTCTTCAGGAATCATGACGACTTCACAGAGTACACGCCAGTAGCTTTCCGTACTGGCTCATCTGCAGTTGAGGGAAAGGGAACGTTCGAGATCCTGGGCCAGAGTACAGCAACAAAGGTCTTCAGACTGAATGGAAGAGATGTTAAGCTCACCTTCAAAAATACCTTGCATTCACCTTCACTCGCCGCAAATCTCATCTCCATAAGCACCTTAGACAAAGCTGGGTTGTCAACTATGTTCTCTGATGGCCGTGCAGTTGTCCAGGATAAGTCTGGTAAAGAGATCTTTGCTGGGTGAGGCTCGGATGGCATGTATGTGCTGGATGCTGCACCTAGCCCCCAAGCTATGGCATCCCGCTCATCTCCCACTTTGCTGAGTACTTGGCACCGTTGTTTTGTCCACATGAGCCCTGCAAAAATCGAGGAGATGGCATCAAAAAGGCTGGTAGATGGCTTGGAAATTACCTCAGAGCCTATCCAGGGACGCTGCGAGGACTGTATTCTAGTGAGACATGCTCGTCGTCCCTTCGATGAGCCCACCGATCCCAACGTTGACCCACTGGAGCTTGTTGCAACAGATATGTGGGGACCGTCTCGAACGGCATCACCAAGTGGAAAGACTTATATGATGATATTCGTCGATAGTGGTACATCGTTCAAGGCAGGGGAATTCCTGGCAGACAAAGCAGATGACACTACCGTGGCTGCTTTTGACAGATACAGGTGCATGGCTGAGACCCAGACTGGCCGAAAGCTTAAGCGTATACATGCTGATCGTGCTTTTGCAGGGGTAAAGTGGAAACAATATTGCGAGGAGCATGAGATCATCCTGGAATTAACCGCACCCCACTCATCAGCCCAGAATGGATTAGCTGAACGTGCCCTACGCACCACCATGGAGGATACAAGAGCTCTACTAAGTGACTCTGGCCTCGCCGACTGCTACTAAGCTGAGGCTGCCTCTATGTCAATCTTCACGCGAAACCTTGTTTCTTCGAGTCGCCATCCTGGAGTGGTACCAGCAGAGGGTTTCTCGAAGCGACGACAGAACGTGGGATTTTTACGAGTGTTCGGATCCACTTGCTGGGCAAAGAAACCTATAGCTGGTGGGGTTTTGGTAGATGGCAGAAGCAAACTCGATGATCGATCAAAGAAATGCACCTTTCTGGGATACTCAGGGTCCAATTACCGTGTACTTGATCAATCGGGACATGTGTTTGTGTCTCGTGATGTCATCTTTGATGAAGGACCAGCGCACTGAAGTGTGAGTGTGGGAGAGATGGAGGACGAACCTGCACTCATCACTTCTACTCATACCGAGATGCCTATGCCAACCGAGCCAACCGAGCAAATGCCAGATGCTCCCACAGAACCAACTCTTCGCCGATCAACGTGCTTAATGCGTCCCAGTGCTGATGCTGCCGAATCTCTGATGTCAAAGCAACGAGAGGCTGAGGCCCATGCAAGCGGAAATGACTGGGCAACCAACAGCAAACAGCCACATGCTTCAATGGCTTCTGGTAATCCACCTGACCCATACATCCCACGAAATCATCAAGATGCACTGCGTGTTGATGAAGAGCGATGGAAGGCAGCTATGGATATGGAATACCAAATGCATATGACGAAGCATACGTGGGACCTAGTCGACAGACCGGTAGGAGTGAACGTGATGGATTGTAAATGGGTCTATGGTATGAAATGGGATGGTGATGGTAACTGGATCAGGGACAAGGCGAGGCTCGTTGGGAAGGGCTATACTCAACAGTATGGACTTGACTATAACGACACTTAGGCTGCGGTGACCCGTCTCGAATCTGTACGAATGTCGGCTGCTGTTGCAGCAAAGCTCGATCTTGTCCTATGGCAAGTGGACTTCGTTTTGGCATACTTGAATAGTGAGACAAAAGAAGACATCTATATGTGTCAGCCCCCAGGGTACATAGTCGAAGGACAAGAGGATAAGGTGTGTAAACTTGTCCATACTATTTATGGGACTATGCAGGGTGGCCATGATTGGTTCGAGACGCTTGGGAAAACCTACGAAGACCTTGGATACCGTGCATCGAAGGCAGACCCATGTGTATGCACCATTGGCAAGCCTGGAGATGAGTATACCATCACAGACACTTACACTGACGATGTGTGGGGAGCATCGTCGACTACAGAGGAGGCAAGCTGACGGAAGAAGGAATTAGAGGAGAAATGGGAGCTCACCGATATGGGGGAGAACCGTTACTTTCTGGGGATGAAGATTGAACAAGACCTTGAGGCTGGCACCATCACCTTCTCGCAGCGTCCATATTGGGAGAATGTATTTTTGGACTTCAACCTTGGATACGTACGATCACGGACCACCCCCCTACCTGTTGGAATCGTACTCGACATATCACAGTCTCCGAATACCCAAGCAGAGAAGGACGCTATGGAAAGATTCCCATACCGACGACTGCTAGGCCACGTTATGTGGAGACAGCTTGCAACTCGTCCCGACTTGTGCTTCCCTGTGAGCCTGCTCGCTCGCTTCCAGTCTAACCCAGGAATAGAGCACTGGAAAGCGTTAATACATGTCCTTGGGTATATAAAGGAGACAATGGACCTTGGTATCTCCTTCTCGCGTGAGCAGCCATTAACACCTGTTGGATTTGTAGATGCGGACTATGGGGGTTGTAGGGACACGACTCGTTCGACGTCCGGCTACGTCTTCACCATGGCGGGTGGTCCGATTTGCTGGAGCTCAAAGCGTCAGGCTACCGTCGCCCTGTCCACTGTCAAGGCTGAATACATTTCCCTTACTCGTGCGGTGCAACAGATGATGTGGATATTGTCTTGGATGGATGAGGTCCAACTACCTCAGCCTCGCCCCGGTGTATTGTACGGTGACAACCAGGGTGCTGTAGCATTAACAACAAACACACGGTCCCATCAGAAAGTCAAGCATATCCGCATTCGAGAGCATTTCATTAGGGAGCTCGTGAAGGACGGTGAATTACGTGTCGAGTTTGTTCGAGGGAACGCAAACCCTGCAGATATGTTCACCAAGCCCTTGCCTCGTGATACGCACAATGGTTACTTTGAGATGCTCAACGTTACCCCAGTAGATTGAACGGATATGGGGGAGTGTTGGAGGATATCCGTACGTTTCATCTTATCTTACTTTTGATCACTCGCTCTATTTGCCTTATATATACTTACACCTCCTGTC